GAACGCCATTAAACTTTACGACGCGACCGAATTCCCGGCCGCCATGCATAATCATTGAAGGAGCGGATTCAGCAGTGTCTCCGATGCATTCGAGCAGGAGTTGCGCGTTTCTGTTTGGGATCAGGATTTTCTGAAGAGAGGCCGCTTCCGGTTGCGTTTGGGAACACGCACCTCACAACTGATCCGTCACGCATTTCTCAGCCTTCTGTGGGAGAAACGGGCGTTCAATCGTCCCACTCGCGACAGCCGTGCGGCGGCTTGGTTGCACAGAAGGATTTCCAGCGCTTGTTTTTTTTTCTGAACAATGCCGGAGCGCGGTTCGAAAACGAGACGAGTCTACCGAGGCCCTTCTCCTCCTACCTTCGAGACGCATCGAGTGCGTCGCGAGTACTGGATGCGTTCAAATATTCTTGATGGATTTCAAAAGAGTCCTCGAGGAGGTTCCGCGATCTCGACCGCGTGAATACTTTTGACGACGACTAAGCCTTCGCATCCTCGAATGTGACGGATGAAAAAACGTGGCGTCCCCCAACAACTGCCATAGAAGTGCTCAGTTCCCTCTTCTGAACCAAGCGGATCCCGACAGAGTCCGTGAAAGTTCAGGTGTATCACGAACGTCCTTGGAAAAACAACAAATGCGCGCAGTGGAAGTACGAATAATACAGTCGAGCCGAAATGAGTTCCTCGGCTGGACTCTCTGAGACGTGCTCGCAGCAGAGGCGCCCTTCGAGGAGTAGAAAGTTTCGTTTCATCTCACATCAATGGAGAGCCTTAATTTTCCGGCGCGATTCGGAGTTTCGACTTCGCAGCGTCGATGGAGAGCTGCTCGAGAATCATAGGAGGTATAATCATCAATCGTGGGAGCATTGCTACAATTCTCCACAGCACGGTGGAAGGAGAATCAGTCGAGCAGCTGGCGATCGACGGGAAGATCACGAAAGGATCTCTTCTTCGGATACCTCAACCGGTTCCTCGTACAGCAGTCGTGTTCGCAAGGGGGTAGAGTTAGGCCCCACGTTTGAGTCGCCGAGACAGAGGTTTCATCCGTTTCACCAACGCTGACAACAAGTCCAATTTGAATACGGCAACGAACTCCTACGAGGATGTTCCTGTGCCGCGCTGGAGAGGATTCACCCCAGAGACTTCGGGTCTTTTTCCCGAGTCGAACTTCCGGAACAAGCGATAGATTGGCCTGTTGCTTTCCTTGGTGCCTTCGGAGACAACGCGGATCCCCTGGAGTGACTGACAACGAGTGAGTGATACCGAGTGATCGCAACATCGAGTCCTCCAGGCTGTCGCTGAGTATTTTTTTCTCTCGTAGCAGCCTGATCTCGCCTTCAATATTGATCCCGGGGGAATAATGCCAAATATTATTTCTCAGCTGATCACGTCATCCTGATTTCGATTCCGAATTATCAGTTAGTTCAGTTTCGAGAATCCTGGAACGCATCGATCGCGAGGGAATATTCCGTGAGGGAACCGAGAAAGCCTCCGCATCCATGTATCGGCTTCGCCGCAGTGCGTGTGAATTACACGACAATGCTTTGAGAACCGATGTTATGTAACAGTTGATCGCTGTCGCTGAGTTTATCACTCATTTCCGTCTCGGTCATTGGGTCTCGTTCAGCTTTTTGCTCCTGTTCATTCTCGCGTTGTAAGTGTTTGTGGAACGCACACACACACACATACGTCGTTTCGCGCATGGCGTACGGAGTGATGCCGTGCAGCCGAGTCAGTCCTCGCGACCCAAGAAGCGCATCGTTCGTATCGAATTCCGACTGAGCGCTTCACTGGATCTCCACGATGAAGTTACACAATGGACTTCGACGCATCTCCCTCTACCATGCTGAACTCGAAGTTTTATTTCATCCAACGACAATGCAAGCAATACGTTTTCGATGAGCAATCATGAAATTGTAGGCGGGGAGAAGTGAATTGACTGTATGAATCGAGTGTTCGGCGAATTCCGAACGGACCTCGGTTTGAGGCGCGATATTATGAGCGCGTAGGATGATCCCTCTGCTTTTGGATGCCCAGAGCTCACGAGATGGGCTGATGATCGAGCTACGGCATCTTACACGATGGGGAAACTCCATGACTCGCCGGAGATCAAGGCATGAGCTCGAGACGTCGCACCGTTCTGATGAATTATGAGAGCAGCATGCAATCTATCGGCACCTATGCGGTATCGCCAGCTGCAGTTGCTTCTGTGCCAGCTGCAGCAGCGGACGAAGACATGAGCATTGAGCAGAGAATACAGAGTTATACTTCTGTTTTCAATATGAATCGCAGCATTAGCATAGTCAGCGGAACGTCTATTCCTGATCGACAGGCCTCTGCAAGACGAAGGCGCGGTCGACGATGTGCTTTCGGAGTCTCTCTATGATTTCCACATACGTAGAGGAATTTAGTAAGAATCCCAAATTATATTGGAGGCACAGCATGATAATTTAATCGCCGCAAGTCGATGCATCTCATCGCCAATTTGTTAGGCGGACACTTTCGAATGAAACCTCGCTTACCCTTTGTTCGCGGAGAGAAACCGACGACTAGGGTGCCAAGTGATGAAATGCACGGTTTTTGAAGGGCCTCCGATGAGCTGGAGTGCGTCAGACAGCTCCGAATCCAGTAATCGGATACATTCCTCCGACAGAGGGAGTCTATAAGAGCTCTACACCGTACAATCATATGGGTATCAATTTTCATCAAAGGACTTGTCGGAGTTCATGAATTCCTCCAGAATCTCAGGCTCGTTCTGTTGCTCGTACGTGTTCGAGATCTCTACAGACGATAGCCCGCCGCCGTGAACGAATGAATGAGTGAGCAGATTTGTCTTGGTCTTGGACGCCCCACGAGACGGCTCCCGAAATTTTGAGAATAAACCCGCAATGAGCCTTGAGAGTCCGAACTCGCTCACTGAGGATCCGGTCTATTCTGATCTCGAAATGGTAATTCTCGGGAAGGGTGGCTCCTTTCATACGGCCATTGAGGGATTCGACACACACGGCGAGACACTGTTCTCGGTGAAAATAATGTCGGAACCAGAGAACATTCCCAAACTCCGAGCCTCGACATTGAATTGCTGAGAGGCTGTGCTGCTTGTGTTTCGATATGACTCCTGTATCCATATCGGGATATAACAGATGCGTGACGCTCATCCGGGGACTGAATCCATCGAATCCTGAGTCATTGCGTCGCGATAGACAGTCCCCGGAGCGGCTACCCGGGATTCAGGAGCGTACACTCGGGAGAAAAATCTTTCTGCATGCAGGAAAAGAGGCTCCGGAAATTGAACGATGATTCCCTCTGAAAGGATTGCGTCCTTTCGAAACTAACCCTCCTCGATACCTTGATCCCCTAACCCGATCATCTGGGCAGGGGGAGATGCAGAATAAGGAGGGCGGTATCTGCACGCATCTTCGATATGTTCGAAGAATCAACAGAAACCGTATCATTAAATGGATCGCTGTCTTTGTTTATCGGGCATGCAAAGACTGAGAAGGAGGAACTCCGCGAACGTGCATGTCTATTTCTCGCGTCAAGCCGCTTCAAGTCGACTTTTCCGATTCGGAAAAAACACAGCTGGATCCCTCCGTTCTACTTTATTCTAGCCTCGGAGATCTATAGAGCGGCGACGACTCGGGGAAATAGTCAAAGGGCCGTCTGGAGCTCCGAGAACTCATTGGACGCGATCGACCATTGATCAAGTAATTTGTGCAAGTCATTCGCAAATTCTGTGGAATGTCCGTCCGGGAGAAGAAATTCGATGCGGTCTCATCGAATTGTCCGCCCAATTCTTAGCCCCATTGATCATGTTGAGAATGAGCGACGTAGGAGCGCTACAATTTCGAGAACGTCCTTGTCATCGCATATCGCTCTCCAAAGCGATCACCTGTGGCTTTTTTCGGAAGCTACAGTTCCAAATCTACGACAACATTCGGTGCGTATTCTAATCGCTCCCAAGTTCTAGGATCCCTCGACATCTAGTGATTGAACCTACCGGCGACTTCCAGTTGTGAAAAAGATGATCAAAGAGAACGCGGCCACCAGACCGAGTCCGACGGAGACAGCAGCACAAACCTTATTCAAGGCTACCCGCGGCATTATTTGCGGCTAGTCAGTTGACACAATAAAATCGAGAAGGGCACCCTTTCAATAAGGTGATCGGTCTACTCTGTTAACGAAGTCGATGGACAACAGCAACATCTCATCACGCAACAAGCTCACACCATGATGGTGGTGGCCGGGGTGGACGCGTTCGAGAACGTTGTTCTTCGAGACGTTTTCGTGTTGTCGCGTCACTCACAAGGACTCCAAATGGACACAAAACAAACGTCGGAGTCCGCGCCTACGTGTTGATCATCAAGACTCGGAATCCGAAGTGCCCGCGTGACAGGAGGAGCTTGCCCTTCCACAGTAGGAGAGGGCGACCATGGTACGGAGAGAGTGAGCCACCTGCCGAGCACTGACACGAGAGCAGCAAGGAGCGAGACGTCGCGCGGTACAGGTCTTTCCAGCAAGGACTGGAAGGATTGCGGGTGAAACTTCCCTGGTTAAAGGGGCGCCCCGAGAGGCTCGCGGATCACGAGTCGGCCTACCTAGAATGAGGCTCCTCGCGTCGATGGAGCCTCTGATCATGATGAATACCTATGTATGGATGATGATATGCCGAAAATAAGATCAGTGAGAAATGGACAAACTACATATTCATACTACATGTGTAGGACAGATATGGCTACCCCCTATTCCCCTTGCAGTATAGAATCGCAATATCTGTCTGTCACCGGAGCAGTTTTCGGCGCTTCCCGTCTCCGAACAGCTTTCAAACTTCTTCAATCGATGCCCAATCACTTCAGTGAGGCCAAGCTATACTTTTCGAGCTCCTGGGACGCATGCCCTCCGCACGATCTACGTGCTCCCCCAGTTATCGTTATTTTCCACCCGACGTGTAGTGTTTTCAATATGCTATCCTTCTACTTCGAAAGAAAAATGAAACCTACGATTCATCCATTGGTGTACTTGAGTCCTTGATTCCTGAACTTGACATAATGTTTCTCCCCAAGCTTCTGGGGCAAAGATCAGAAACCTGGATTGACCCTCCTTGGATGCGAACGTGTTCTCCTTGGCTGGCAACCCAGGATCAATTCTTTCCGCAGTTCACGGAATGGAGGTGGTGAAGACACTGGTCCGATTGCACGATTCAGGTTACGAGTTGACAAAGGTTCAGTTGTCAAAGTCCTTCAAGCGAAGAATTCACTGATTCGCCGGTCACCAATTTCCACAGAAACGAAACGCGCGGCTCACGTTCAACGCTCTTCCCCTTTGTGATAGGCAATGAGTCAGCCGGCCGATACTCCCCTCGTCGAACAGGCTCGCCCGCAGACAGCTGTTTGTTTATATCCCGGTAGTTGTCGCTCGGGACGCTGCTCAGGCTTTTTCGCTACTACACCGAATTTCCTGCGCGCTTGTACGCAAAAGAGAGATTCGGAGATGATGAATCGTTGCGGGGTTGATTCGGCAGTCGTAGAATGAGGAAGTAAAAGGCTCAAAATTGGATTTTCCCAGTGAGCTTGGCGTGAGAAGTGAATTGCATCTGTGATCTTTGCTTCAGGTCTGGGAGCGAGATCGCTTCAGCCCATCTTCTCGGCTCCGACTAGTAGCTCCGAAAACGGCTTTATATCGTTGCTCGGATCTCGTCGGGCAACGCTGAACGATCGCCTGGAGATGTTGCTGCGATATACCCTCGGGCACCATGCCCGTAGACGGATCGGGCCGGGTTCCATTGGGGCTTCCTGATGCGCGACTTCTCCCTGTGCTCGGCTGGCATAACGTCGCGGAACGCTAATTCGGAGAGTCATATTCTTCCCAACCGTTATCCCATCGATTCATGGAGATGGTGAGGTCCCGAGGGACCGCATCAAGGCGGCTCGATAACGGCGAGGTTGAGGTCACAAATGAGGCGACATCGCCTTGCAGTGAGGTTCGACAAGTCCGAGGCTACATCAGTGTGCCAAGAATCATTGGAACTCCCGTTGCGGAATCGCCCTGGCTGATGCTGCCTCGAAGCACGAGCGCTCAGAACAATAATAATCGCTCAAAATGGTAGCTCAAGCACCGAGAGGCTCCCTCAATCCCAGGAGGGAGCTACGCGAGAACCTATCTGACTCCTCGTGTCTCAATCGAATCCAGAGGGAGATGACCAAGAAGTCCTCCCTGAGAATTCCCCGCGGTGGCTGGTTGAGTTCTCCGATCCTTTTCCGACATCAATGACGCGGAGGGCGAATTTGGAACCGGACGATCTGGATTTGGGAGCAGGATTTCAGCAGCATCGCGGATACACTGCTTTCCTCCGCCCCTCCCGGTGGAACTTTTGTGTTGTCTCAAAGATGCTGGGGACAACGTATTCCTAGTGCAGAGCCCGACGCTGGATTCGAATTCATGGACCTCGGCATCGCGCGAGGGGGCCAAGACATCCTCCTGAGTTCTCGGGTGCACGCTCAAGGCTCGACTCATTTCTCTTGCAAAAAACTCCACTTTCGTATTTCGCAGAGAATCAGCGTCTTTACCGATAGGAATTGCGCAAAGCGCAGAATCGGAGCGCTATTAGCTCGCTCTGAAGCCGTGGCATTGGGGGCTGAGAACTGAATTCAGGTTTGAGTACTAGGAAAATGAGAGAACCCCGAGGGCTCTAGGAGGAACCGCCCGGTCGCGTTTGAGTCTCACCGAAGATCATTAACATCATCACCTCCACTCTCCCATCGACAGACTCCTCTTCTGTTCAATTTTACCCCCGGTATTCGGTGCGGGTTTTTAGAAAACAGGGTCAATAGTACGGTATTTCCATCGTAAGTGGAGTTCTGCTAATGTATGCCCGTCGACTCGATTAATTGCAAGAGCAAATTGCGAGCCGCGTCGAGACGAAGCCGCCGCGGGGAGAGATTTCATTGCTGCTGCCTCTATCTCCGCTGGGGTTCGTCGAGTCGGTGGGAATCAGTGGTCGGGCTCTCGGTCGCAGTGAGAGAGGTCGTCGGTGCCAGAAAGGATCCCCGGCAGCCTGGCAACCGCTGCTGAGCGGCCGCGAGCCTGCTGCTTCTCTAGCAAAGGGGAACACTCTCGAGTTGTCGGAAGGAAGCTGAAGGCGGTGGAATAGTTCTGATCTCCATAAAGGTTCGTAGACGAGGGACTGGAGGAATCCTCTTCGTGCTCCGAGTTTCGTAGCGAACAATGCTTCGGTGCGCTGACAGTTCCGGGGTTACTCTACCTGCGATTGCATTCATTCTCGATATCGGAGTAGGGACAGACGGCTCCAAAGTGTCAAGGAGCCGGGGGCATGCTTTTCTGTGTAGCATCCTGTCGTGAAATGTCTCTCTCCTGCAGTTCGACTGACAACGAGCAGTTCCGTAGTCGGGAACGATGATGGAACTCTTTCAGAACCGATTCGAACGTACAACATATAATGACCGTTTATTACCCTGAATATTGCAACGGTGCGAGCTTTATCATGTCGGGCGGCAATCTATTGGGGGCTAGGGTCCAGGATCCTACCATCGATCATTCAAATGGATAGGTATTTCGGAAGGAGAAAATCCCTAGACAAGAATATTTGGCAAAAGCGATATCCTCCCGAGTCGACTCACGAACATTTGACGCTTGCAGTCTCGATGCCAGCGTCCTCCCCGTCAGTGGAGGGCCAGACCTGTGGTGTCGATGGCGGGGCAAGTCAGTCCGCGGCTGTCGAGAAAGAAATCCCGTCACCGGCAAAAGAAGCCTCACCAGAGTTGAAGGAACCTACTGATGGTAAAGACTCTTCAATCGAATTTCCCGACACCATTGAAGATCATTTTTCCGACAGCCTCGATCGATGGATCTACTGTTAAGCCACATCGTGACTTGCTTCGAAATTTGCAGGAGAGCGTCTTGAAGAGCGAGAGCCCCGTAAACTCACCTTGGAGACACTGCTTAGAGAAGGCGTTCTCGAGAGCGGGGATGGTGTTCTCTCCATGGAGTATATGGTTCGTTTGCTCTTCCGCACTTCCCCTTGCAGATTTCTAGAATGAGTTTTCGAATTCCATGAACAGCTGCTCAGGCGGGAGGATGGTCTTCTCGCAAGAATCTCATGATTGAGTTCCGTTTACAGGGGATGCGATTCACGGGAGACCTATTGTCGGATGGCGCTATCCGTTGGGGTAAGTCGGCTGATCCCAGCAGAAATCAATGAGTCTTAATTGGGGTCTTCCTTCAATAAATTGGATCATTGAGTGAAAAAATCTTGGTCCCTATATTGACTTGGCACCTGCTAGGGTTCTCGGATCGACCCTTCCGGCATATAGCGAAGGATTGAGACAAGCTGCTTGACTTGCAGGAGAATCTGGTGAAGTTTTCCCGAGCCCCTCCGCTTGGGCGATCCATTGCAAGCGCATCACCCAGCCGGACAAGAAAACCTCTTGCGGATGGTCTCAAGTGAAGTGAGTCATGCTCACCATCTCTATCGACTTGCGATACTACATAGTAATTACAGCAGATGGGAAAAACGAAGCTTCCTGGACCGAATCTGGAACTGATCACCTCCCGACTCTTACAGATATAAAGGACGCAAATTAGAGCTCTATAAACAAGAATGGCTTCATCGACATCAGACCGCGAAGCGAGCCGCGGCCGCCGCCGCGGCCGCAGCTCCACCCGTCGCTAGACCGGCTGCCGAAGAAGTGCCGGCTCCGAAAAGTATGCGGACAATTATTTCAGTTTTTTCCGTCACCTCAGAACGATGACATCTCTCGAGTTTCCCTCGATTCGGATATTCAGTATTATTCGGATATTCAATTGATATTCTTTAGTTTTCTGCTATTGTACTTAAACGTCAGAACGATGTTTGACGGAGTCTATCTTGACAGCGGTCGAAGCGATGACTCGAGTCGGGAAGACGATAATTCGACGTCCTCGTTGGTTTCTTGAGTCCAAGCGGAAAGCCCTGGGCCTCCCCTCGCTGGATGAAGAAGAGAAAGAGAACCGGCAGTCCGCTTCGGGCAGCCAAGAGAATAAGGAACTCGATGTCCCCGGCCAAGATAAACTGTGAGTTGAGGAGCGTAACGTAAGGATTCCTCCGACATAGTGTCGGGCTTCGGAAAGTTCGGTCCATTGATTTCCCTCTGTTATTCGCAGACCAACTAATCCGCAGTACGATCCGGTGACTTTCGCATCGGTCGAACGTCTACAACCATTCCACATTTCGATCTCATCAAACGTGCTGCTCCTCGTGGATTTCCATTGCCATCTGAGTAAAAGCGAAGTATGTGGATACCTCGGAGGCTCCTGGGATGTCGCCACTCACGGTGAGTTGACTGGTGCAATACGCGAGCTGCGCATCAGAACGAATGTCTATCAGATATGAACGTTTGACGCTCAAAACTGACGTGCAGATCAATGAGCGAATCTTGAAATGGACTAAATACCCTCCTTGCAGCGATGACAATTACCCAGGCGTTCCCATTAAAAGTATCGCTGGACTCCAACGACAATCGAATAATGGATGAAGTTCAAGCATCCATGACGTCCAGAGGCATCTACCCTGTCGGTTGGTACCACTCCCATCCGCGGCTGTCACCGCACCCCACGAAGCGAGACGTTCTCAATCAGCTGGAGTACCAGCTCGCCATGCGAGGAGACAACGAGGCTCAATACATGCCTGTGGTTGGCCTAATCTGCTGTGAGTTTCTTAGTGGAACGGACCCATGAGTCCCTGAACCCTCTGAGGAATATTGACGAGTCAAGTAGAAATATACATACCCACGTATGATGGTTTGGATGCTTTCAACTCAATCGTTTCCAGCTCCGCAAGGCGCGATGGAATCACTGACGGAGGCTGAGCTCATGGTTTACTGGGTCATGCCGCCGCCAGAAAATCGACCTCACGAAGTGGGCAAAGCCATGAAGATGGTTTACGCGAACCAGCAGGACAGTTTCCTCACTCAAGACCTCCTCATGGAAATGGTGATTATCGGGGCTGATTTTTCACTCATTGTCTCATTGGGCCCACTCGGGGATCGGAGGGGTACTCTGTCTTCCGCCGGTATTTTCCTTCCTTTTGGATGATTGCCCTAAAACTTTCAACCAATTCCAGCGTGTTCTCGCTGAGCACTACCGGACGACGAACCAATTAGCCGACTTCACCGCGCAGACGCCGAACTCGACGAGTCACACAGTGAGCGACTTTAGAAACTTCCCCGACCAGGAATGCGGGAGACATATATTATTGGGTAGGATCTCGATGCGATCTCCAAAGCCGATTTTCCTTCCTCAGATCTGGGACCAACTGAAGGCCTCGCTAAGTACGAAGCTCCCACGTGATCTTCAAACTTCGACTAATGCAGGCGGTGGATGTAAGTTCTGTTCTCGGATTCGGAATCCGGACGGAGAGAATCTATTCTTCTCCCTTTCCTGCATTCGGGAACTCTCCTGAATGAGTGTCGAAGCTTACAGATGGTCCGAGTAGGGTTCGAGATTAAATGAGAGCAACCTCTTTCAGCGGGAGCCCTAGGTGGAGTTTCCCAGGATACTGCGGCCCAGGCAGTGCAGCACTTCTGGGAGTTCGTCAGGGGTCTCATTGTTCCGAGTAATGCACCTGCCCCTCAGAATTCGGCTACAAATCATTCGGAGCAACCAGGCACCAGCCGAGACTAGTCGCGATTCCGCCAGTTGGCAGTTTCTTTCAATTCACTCCAGGTCCCGCCTCCAATGTCCTCCGAAATTCTTAAGAATGGGGAAAACATTTTACCCCACAGCCCTCCGAAAGGATCGCACTCAGCATAAGTCAACGGACTTACGATCCTTCGATCTTCCGAGCGAAAAAGTGTTCCCTGTACAATCTGATTCATCTTGTGCCCGGAATCATCCTATACTAATATATGAATACATTAACACCTGAGGTACATGTAATTGTAAACTTGCGGAAAGGAAGTTCGCGTAGGTATCTCCGTGCCGGATCAGGCAAATGGTCACGATCTCATATTCGTCACATTCATTTGGAGATAGTTTTATCCCGTATGAAAGAGGAATCGACGCAGAATATCTGTATACTCGATAATGTAATAAACTATTCTGTTCGGAAACCATCCCCTCTTCATTTATGACTTCAGACTGAGGTTTCACCGACTCGGCGTGAGAGCCATGAGTTTCCTCTCGCTCTATAACTCAGCGTCCGATTAGAAGGTCCCTGAGCGCCCAACGACGGTCCGGGTTATCCGCCCCCTGGCAAGACGCGGGAGTCACACCGGGACGGTAGTTATAGGCGGAAGAGAGCAAAAAAAAGAACGACTTCACCGCCTGATTCCCTTTTCCGGTCAAAGATAGGTCTGTCGATATAGTTTTCCATAGGGAATACCCGCTGGAAAAGTTCTCGAGGACAAAATCATCGATGACCTACGGATCGAGCCGCCGGACCTAGCTCGTCTCGCCGAGGAGTTAATCATGATGAGGGTGAGAAGCGGAGGAGTGTCGTGGACGCGAGCATTGATTCGCTGCACAGAGGCGACACCAGGATTCATTCGAGTCGAGCGTCGATATCGAGGGCGACGGAGGATACATGATGTAGGGAAACGTCATCACCGGTCGAATCGATCTGGTTCTTTCGAGGCTGATTTTCTTACGTGTGCTTGTCCGTCATGGCTTGCTCGCTATTGCGATCGCTCAGGCCGCTCTAGGGCAAACAAGGACTCGTGGGATCCGTCGGGAATCTGTATGAGAGTAGAGAGAGAAAGCCTTAGAAGAATGCTGCATCCTAGTACGGCGGTAGGGATCCTAATTAGTCATACTACTCCCCTCACTCAGTGACCGACAATCGGAACGTCGACGGAGGTCAGTCCGCTAAAGGTCAAGAATGAAAGTGCCTCCTCTCCCTAGTCTCCAATATCGTCCGGTCGGCATCCGCGAGAACCAAGCTCCGAGAAATCCGGATACTTGGAAAGTCGGCACCGCTTGACTCAGAGCCGGTCTGCCAAGCTAGATACCTGGATCAGTCGCATCATTCATTACAGATGTCCACCGCCCATGGATTACTAGTCCAACAGAGTACTGAATGGAAGGTAGCTTGTTTCTAATTCTTGTCCTCCGAGGGTTTCAGCGGACCCGAATATCCGAAAGCCGGCTGATTTCCTTTACGAAATTAACAATTGATGGCTCATTCAGGGCATCCTCGGAACTGTGAGGACTCCTACTCCTCACGGGGATTCCCGACCCGATCACTCGGATCCGCGTTGCCCGCAATCATTCGCGCTGATGAACGCGAAAAACTCATTCGAAAGAACTTTTTTCAGAACTTTTTTTCCAGGAGCTTTTATTCTTTGATGAAGGAGACAGAATCGTTGAGCTCAACGCGATGCTGGTCGGGATGGGCGCTCATGATATCCATCATTGATTCCGGCGATTGGTCAATGTAGAGAATGTTTCAGATCAGGCGGAAGAGCATCAGTCCATGAAATCTTTGTAGGCTTTCAGGGTTCGCTCGACGTCCTCAGCGAACACGGAGTGGTTCGCCACGAAGTAGCCTATGAGAAACTTGAGGTATACGAGAGGCACGGCGATTCGGCAGAAGACGTCGATGTCATTCGCTATTTTCGCGTTCGGTCTCCGGAGGTAGAGAATCATCTTATCACAGAAAGTCAGACTGCTCCTCGCCGAAGCTTCTTCCAAAAACTTTTCATCCTCCTTCTCATACGCACGAGGATGCCTGTGGAAAGGAGATGTCATTCCTAGGCTGTCGAGAGAGGATCAGTGAGTATAGCCGCAAATGAGTAGGACCGCGAGTCACTGTCCGAGTCCACTCGGATTCGAGCGCGGGACTTGCCTTCCCAAATAGTCGGTGAAGATGAATTCGAGAATACAGAAGTAGATTATGATAATCGAGACCGAATCCCAGACGTTGAGTGAAACCAAGCTCGATACCGAAGACAGCTGATTCCGGAGGTTGTTCGTCGTTGAGATATAAGTGAGACGGGTCGTGGTTCCTGCAACGATACCGTTGGGAGACCTCTTCTAATTTGCGGGTTTCCCCTCTCTATCCCCTCGGAAAATTCCTGTGCGAGCTCTTCTCGTCGAAGTTCTCGGGAACGAACCTATCATCGATCTCGGAGGGGTAGCTTTGAGCCAGAACGTCATGAAGGCACTCGTGACCAGAACTATCGAGGGCACGTACAAGGTGACCCAGTACACGATGTGATCGCGGGCCAATATTGTTGAAGCTTTGATGCACGCTGCGTTGTAGGTGGCCTGTTCTTCGATTGAGCATGATGCGACTTCAACTCGGACTGGGGGTGCGTTCACATTCGACAAACCCTCAGAGAGGATGAATGCGGGTGCGTGATGGTCCCAAGATAGATGGACCTAGAGACGGGAACCTCTCACGGTGAATGAATTGGGTCAGAACAAGTGCCGACGCTCGGATTTCCAGGAATTCTCACCTGATCTCGTCGATAACCTGCAGCGTAAAGACTGAATTTGCAGACGGGATGGTCGAAAGGGAATATGTCCATTGTCGTTCGGCACGTAAGCGCCACTTTTATCCGTCTGCGGAAGTGTACTTCTCCAGACGGGAAAACTGTCACTCGCTCCCAGAAAGTCGGGAAATTGCTCGGCGGATCATTTTCCACGGGTAGGAGTTTAGGCGTCCACAAAGAGTTCCGATACGGGAAGGCATTGAGACCATGGTGGTAGCGGCTTCAGAGTGGGCGAAGAGGATTTTTCAAAAAGTGATTACGAGAGACATTACGGGAAAATATTTTTCTTCGAGACCGAGAACACACAAAGTTGAACTCGGGAAAAATTTGTCATGACCGTCTCCCCAGCTTTGTCGGCGGGATCTGCGGATGCCCTAAAGCGGCCCGATTCTCGTGCTCACCCTGCCTGGTAAACCTTGAAGCGGAGTCGTGTATCGATGTATTTCTCGGTGACGATCATATGAAACACGTAATCCAAGCTTGTGTCATCCGGTGACGTTATCGAGAGCGTTCGGACAGAAACGTTTACATTGACGGTATATGGTGGAGCTCGAGAAATGTGTTTCTGATCGATGAGACAACGCAGAACTCCATGAACGTCGTTCGGACGTCTCTCGGCACAATGGATGGTATCGTCACACGAAACCAGGTTCGGAGAGCACAGAATCAGGGCAGCTTGTAGACCAACGACGAACTCCAGTCGCATCGTGAATGAGTTTCCCCTTTACGAATTAATCATAAGGAAGCTACCGGAGAGGCCTATGCTCGCATTGTATCTCAGCCCATGCTGGGAAACGAGTAATTGTCAAAGATGACACAATCCGCTTGGTCGCTGTTAGAAATATCGTCGACCCGCTTCGTCTAGCTCCAACTCGTGGAGAATTATAATTATTAATTAACATGGCTCATCTCCTGTCACACTAGAACCCCGATAAAGACCACCAATCAATGCTGCGGTATGCGCTCTAGTGACCCCTATCGGTTTTGAGCGCTCTTGGTCGCTCCCTCGATCGGTGTCTCCCAATTTATCTCTACCTGATGGCAATCCCCGTCTTATTGTTAGCTCATGAATTTCGAGGAGTTGGCTATCGTCCGAGTAGTTTCGTCCGTGGACGAAGGACTGCGACAGATTCTATTATGGTGTATCCCACCGTTGATTAAGGTCGAACCCTCTCGACGGGGACCTGTGCAGGAACCGTGAAGGGACCTCGACAGCAACGCTCGTGAAGAAGCATTCGGAACCGTCGCCAAGGTCTCGGCAGCAACCTCAGCTCCGATTGTACCCCGGAAAATAAGTCGCTTTCCACGAGATTCGGGTTCGAAAATTTGGATAAAAATTACGGCCAATCGAGCTCTGGTCGGTGCCGTGCGAGCATTCGTCGGAATTTCAATCTCTCTCGGATCATAATGTATTTCGGTCACATGGAAATTAAATGGGACTGAAGATATTTCGCAGCGTCTTCTGAACTGCTCTATTGAGGGATTGCCCCCCCCCCTTCCCATCGAGCATTTGGTCCTTCCGTTTCCGTGGAGCATACCTGAGGGGAGGGATATGATATGATAAAGGGCACATACATCATGATATGTATCTCGGGACTTCGTAGTCGATATCATCGGAATGATGTTGCCCGGGGGATGGCGGGATAGAGATGATGGAGGAGCGAGGGAAAATCCCTCGGAGAGCTTCCGCCATGATACATAAGGAGGACGGAGCGGTCCTGGAATCTGATTTCGTAACAAAAATATATGGATATATATGATTCCTGGCATCCGAGAATACCTCGAAGATATCTTGGAGCCGAACAGCTGTCGGAGCACATCTGCGTCCAGAATTCGACCCAAGGATTCGCAAAAAATCACAATCGAGAATGCAGGAAGGGTTCTGGAAATGCGTTGGATACAGGCGAATAAGTTTGTAGAGGGTCGAGAACGTCAGCGTGATTCGCTAGCAATTTCGAGCACGGTCCAGAACAGTCTACATATGGATTCTCCGAATCTCTCAACTCGAATCGAGCACTTTTCGATGATCAGACAATGAGCTCCATTTTCCCTATTTTCTCTATTTTCTCAATATATCTAGCAATCAGGCAATCTAGCAACACTGTCGATCGCATAGCGATATATAGCTCTAATAATGGGGAAACGGATCTTTTTTCCTCATCCTTCATCATTCATCATAAATCACAAAAACGAATCTTCATACGAGCTTGCGAATGAGCATCGCTGGATAGACGCACGAAAATCTCATCATCCCCTGGGGATAGGAGAATGTACAAGGATCGCGAGCATTAGACGAAAACTGTTCGCGAACCCTGAAATTCGCGGAAGCTTGAGGCTCCCTCTAATCAGTACGACTATTATGCCCGTCGTATGTTGTAAGCAGAATCACAAGTCCCTCATTAGAATCGTTCGTTTTGACCTCTATCAAAACTGACAAATATTACGGTTCCCGTGCCCCCTATAGATCTCGCTTAGGCTTCCCAGGTCGGCGCTTCCAGGCTCAAGTCATTCGGAAATCGATCACCGACCTTTCGAAAGTCTTTGGCCTCCCCATAATTAGTGATGTCCCAGGTAGGAGCCGTGAGTCGAGTACAACGTCGGACCCCGTCACGAATTCGACACATAGTCGAATGGTAGAGAAATAGAGGTGATGAAATACATTGTTATAACGCGAGGCATGCTCATTGGATCATGTTTAGAATTCAACTAGAATCGCATCGACCGTCTCAAGAGGCGGATGAGTCACGATCTCGTCGCGAACTGCGCATAACGCTCGATTGTATGCCATCTGCGCGCTCCAGAATTACAGTAGCCGATCGAGTCTCGGAATTTCTCCGCGGACCTAACCTTCGCCTGGAACTCCACATTTTACGGTGCAGCGTTCTCCCATGAGTTTATTCAATCACGTAGACTCGTCGACACACATCAGCATTCCATGAGGAAGAGAAGGCTGCGCTCGCGAGCGGGGGACAGGCTCTCTCCGACGGTGAAGTTCTCTCTGTGTGGGATCATCGTCGTAGTTGGAATTGTTAGTTGGAAAATCGCGAGGAAAATTTCGCGCCGGACCATAATTTGCCGAGTCGCATGGATAATTTCTCTCCCCGCTCGGGGAGGTTCCGTGGCACGGCGCGGCGCGGACCGGAACGTCGTCCAACGGGGCAAAGCTCGGCCACGGGCGCGCGAGGTGACAGCCGTCAGATTCGAATGTTGGCGCCTTCAGGGTTCGGCTCCTCTCGCCTACAATCGGCAACCCTGTACGCAGAGTTTACTTCTCTCTCTCGCTCTCTCTCTCGATACGCACACACATACAAACCGCTACACAGATACCTACTACAGACCCCACATATGTGTCCTGCCGCTGCCGCTGGTTGTTGGTAGAGTGAGAGGTACAGCGGCGAGAAAAAAATAAAAACACATTCTGACACACATCAAGCAGAAGCTGTCGGTGGCTGCTGCTAGCGGTTGTTACCGACGACGAGTGAGTGAGTGGAGAAAAAGACTAGCTCGCAACGTCGAATTCAGTCAGTCAGTTGGACGTCTGCCGTGAATCGTTCAGCGTCGATTTGGACTTTCCTGAAAGTGAAATTTGTGCTCGGACGATACGTGGACGAGTATGGAATAGCTCGTAGACCGCGTCAGAGAAATGAACTATCCAATATCGCTCGGCCGAAAGGCCGGCGTACTGTTGCTATTTGTGTGTTCGCTCGTATCGAGCCCTGTGTCGGTGAGGTCGGAGAACTTTTGTACGTCTCAGAGAACAGATCTCGACACGAAACTGCTCGGCCAGTAAGTATGAATTTCCGGGGTCGATTATAGGGATTCGATGCGCAGCTCGATTCGATCCTCGAGCTCCGATGCGACTTTCCCGATTGCGATTGAACACCACCCCGAGCGCTCATTGATATCGATTCCCGACGGGTTGAGTCTCAGGAGGAAGAGTTCGTCCACCACGAGATGATCTCATTCCCATTCGAAATCTTTTGCGTCGCAAGAAATCTCGCCAAGGAGAGCATTGGACCGAGCCGTGATTTTCGGTCTCTGCAGACAGATTGATACACGGCGCAAACTTGAGACGATCTGACAGTCAGGCTCTGCGTCTTCCGCCTGTATACCAATGTCGCAGTATATCAGACGGAGAAACCCTTCCCGAGGCTCGCAGAAAGTACATGTCGGCTGCCAGCTAGGTTGACCCAGCTGTCCGCGGCCAATGTTTGTGATGAACTTGAGAGTTTAGATGGTGCAGAGTTTGGGGATGAACCTATTGCAACGCAATCATTCGATGGCGGAACATGCCGCAAATATTACGAAACAGCTCGGATGTCGGCGATGACTACGTTTGCCGATGCCCGGTTCCATGAATGCTCTCGCGAGCTCTGGGACCGAGCATAAATAAGTTGGACTAGTCCACGGGGCACGGGGTTGCTTTGCGAGACACGTCGTCCGGCCACTTCTCTCGCAGCTCGGTCCGAGGAGTCCACAGTGTGTTCTGTGAACCACCGAATCCCACTATGCGTCTTTTCGGAGCGCTCTCCTGTGTGCCTCGTCGCCGGGAGGCTCATAAGAATTTACAGACAGACCGACAATGAATTGAAGGTTTTTGAACCAGTTGTAGCCTACATCTGACCACGAGAACAGGACCTTGCTCCCGGAGTCACACTCTGTACATGAGCGATGGGCGATGACATAATCCATGACCGACTGCAGCCGTTGGCGTCGTTGTCCGTGCCCGAGGTTTCTTCGGAGCCAGAATATTCCTCGAAGTGTACTTGCCGGAATCCTCATCAATGCCCAGGAATCATTATTCTGGGTAGCGGATGAACAGCTCGCAGAGCCGTTGACGCTCCTCTCAATTGCGAGAATATTTGCGTGCTCGGCTGCAACTGCCATCAAGTTCCTTAATTCTCACGTTCCGTGATCTCAGGTCTCACGAGAGACGCTCTCTCTGTCTCCGACCTCTCAGAGCGGCTTTGAGCGGAGATCGTCTCCGCAATTCTGTCGTGGACGAGGCGCTCAGTGAATCGATGGCTCTCTCGACGAAGAAAAAATATTTTCCGTGGATTTTGTAGTCAAGACAGTAGTTCGAATGCCGATCGAGCGTCGGCTGGTCGTTGATTTAACGCGGAATGCTCGGAATCCCAATCGAGAGCCCGAGTCGAGATTCGTGTATTTCGGCTGCGAGACTCCTCCTCTCTTGAAGTCAGATTCGTTCCCGAATAGTTTCATGGACTTATGGATAGTCTCATGGGTTCTATGCATGAATCCGAGCAATCTCTCGGGACCAACTCGGAGCGCGATAGACAGGCGATACGTGGAAGTTTTGAGTCACCTTGACAAACTTCCTCATGAGGACGGCTGAGGTCCCGATCATACCACACGGCGGCAATGATTGCGATACATAGTTTAGGAAACGTGACCGCAAAGTCGTGGAGAGATAAAACAAAATATCGGAGATTCATTGGTTTGGTCAGAATTTATTCCAAGAAGAATCATTGAGTCTTCCCTGGAATTGCCAATCGTTCCTCTTTGAATCTCGATCGCTCCCGGTAGATGAGGCTGATTCGTCAAGAATCCCTCGGGTAGTGCGGAGTACGATCCCATGGGTTCTGAATATCGGCGTCCGTAATCGATTAGATATCGCGTCTGAATGACCGACTTCTGAGAATCCGCTATCATCTGAAATACACTGATAAAACGACCCTATCCCCATCCTCATACCGAGCGCTCTCGGACCCGATTGCAACATTTGTTTCCGCCCGTCGGAATCTGAGCCTAATCATGCCAGACCACGAGGAAATTTTCCTTGGTACTTTCTCCCAGGAAATCGATACATAAAAACATCTCTTCCATAGAAGACAGGCTGCAGCTGTTTCTCTCCTCTCCGAGTGGCCGTAAAGTGCCAGCGTGAAAAGGGAGCTCCTTCGCAAGCTACCGACTACCCAACTTGTGAGACGCGGACGCTTGGGTGGTAAGGAGGCCAGATGGCAGCCGAGTCGAAACTGAGATGGAGTCACGCAAGGCTCTCCGGCAGACCGAATGAGCGTTCGCAGCATCTCGACGTGATTCTTTCCAATTGATTTCGCTCAGAACCAAATCCTCATCCGTTCTCGGAGGGGACGATTCGACACGTGTCCCATGCACCACGGCTGTGCTGTTCGATGCCCGAGGCCGCGAGGGGAGTTTTGAGAGGCACCGGCCTGGCGTCTGGTCAGATGTGGTTCACTCGATCTAATCTACCGGCTTAAGGTCCATGCCAACAGACCACAGACGCGTGTCTCGGTCGAGCTCTTTCGGCTACCGAATTTGTCATTACCTCCCATCTCTCCGCCGACGTATCTGGAATCCCAAACGGATTCATGACGACTCTGTCGTCAGAGAGAAGCGGTTCCGCGGATAGCTCAACGAAGCAGTATAGAGGAGTTTCGCCGCGATCATCTCTGAGATCTCGCTCGGAAAGAGTCGCTCCCCAGAAGTGGGCGCCGTGGGACGGCCCTCGAATATTCGTCTTGATTTCACCGGTATCGGATGAAGCATCTGACTTGTTAGGACCAATTAGCGGTCAAGCATAACGCAGGGCAGTGCGCCTGTGGATCGCTCTACTGCTCTCAGGTGGAGTTGCGAGAACTATTCATCAACCAACACCGCTGTGGCTAGAAACTCCGAATAAACTCGAGAACGGCGCGATTTGCGATTTCGGAGCTTACGTTCAAGAACAAGTCGTAAACAGAGTTGTGATTGCGCACAGCTGTTCAAGCGAGCATGAACAGAGTTCAATAGCCGCATCTGGAAGGGGAACGAATCCTGCAAACTCGAATTTCTTGTCCAAGGCGCGTTGCGGACCGCGGGCGTCGGCTGTTCGGCTACCTGGATGATGGACCGTTGGCACAGGTCTCGATGTCGCTCTTCTTCCTTCCGAAGAACGATGCGTCATTCGATTATCTCAGCATGACTCACGCCTCCGCGATGAAGGGAATAACGGCGTAAACAGCGTTCGCTCGACCAGCCTCCGAGAGCACTCATATCTCCCGCCGGCATGTGAATGCTTTCATTGGTACATGATCCGAATCAAATCGTTTTGAGAGGGAAAGAGGGACTTCTCTCGTTTATCCGATTTCTATGAGTACATACAAACTTGGATCCGGGGAGGAGTCACGGAAATATTTCCCGAATCTTCAGCACTAATATCGACTCCGTAGCCCCGAAAACCCACCGAATCGATTCCGGGATTCCGGAGTCCGATGGCACGGAGCTCGGAATGGGTTAAATCCTAGATCAGGGGAAGAGATTTCGGCCTCCTTCCTGAACACCGATCGATGGTACGGCGCGAAAAAGGACGATGTTCCAGGTTCAAGGTTTTTTTTCCGCTCCACAGATCCACATGGATTTCCCGAATACCGAGCAGCAACCCAAAAACGACGGATCTCATGTATTTATCCTTGTGCGAGGCTCTCAACTTTGAAGACAGGGAGAATCTCAAGGAGTGTAATGGGGCCATGGCGTGTAGAGTGGTCACCGAAGGAGGAGCAACGAAAGTCAAGACCTATATCCCGTTCGATGAGAGCAAGAACGGTAGCATAGAACTCAACAAGAACTATCTCTTCATGACTGGAGGGCCTTGTCCCGTGAAGATGCACAGAGAGTCGAAGGTCTTCATCAATTTTCACTGCGGAACTCATCTGGTGAGCGTGTATTTCGATGATATGATGAATTCCCATCCGAGACGATACCTAGTCGATTAAGGTAGAGGACGCGAGAACAAACCCCTAATTCATTGGACTTTGCTCCTCAGGGCTCCCCTCAGTACCTTCTGGAGTGGTTCTGTCAGGTCGGGTTCCGGTGGCGGACTTCGGCGGCCTGCAAGGAAAAGCATCCCAACGATGACGGAGTCAAAGCACCGGTACAAGTTCCTTGCTATGTAGTGGACGAAGCGACAGGCGTCAAGTACGATCTCAGCCACCTGACGAGAACGACCGGATATCATGAAGTCGAAGCGTCAAAAATGGACTTGTTCATCAACGTCTGCCAAGAGATCAACGATCCAATGATCCGTAAGACTACGAGAGCGAGCAAACAATCAATCAATCGAGAATGAAGCGGGAAGCCGAGATGATTCACAGTATTGTTGAAAAAAATATTCTCCCGCTTCCCCACCAGGTTGTGCCCCGGGCACAGCGGCCTGTCTGAATCTTCAAAAAACGTGGAAAGCCGTCGGAGTGATCAGATCGAACACAAAAGTTGAACTTGTTGAAGGCACGAAGGATCTCATCATTACATATCCTGGACCGATATCGGCGAAACCTTTCCACAACTGCGACGATAGTCCGTCAACGGTCATTCATTTCCGGTGTCCCAGCAAGCGAGGCCGAGTGAGTTGCTGAAAATTTCTCCATTCGAGAGTGCCTCTGTAAAGATCGATCGTTTCCCTTGATGCCGACCCCGGGCCCCAGACGGAACCGAAGAACAGCTTTCTAGAGAATCCAAGTCCACGGAAGAAATTGCGTTCTGAGGAGAAAATTTGAAACCTTTCGATGTCTCTCTTGCAGCCCGGTAAACCGCCTCGGCTACTGGCGAATATTTCATGTCAATACATGATCGAATGGGAAACAGATCACGCTTGTCCTGAACATGCTGTGCTCGGTGATGCTCATGAGTGCAAACTCAACGTGGATGGAAATCCGATTGAACTCGGCCGACTTCGCAATCCAAAAGGTACAGTTCGCTATATTCCGCACTTCCTCTCCCTGGAACGCTGTTGCAGCTCGATTGAGGGGAGCTTCGTGTTTGATGTTGCATGCGAAGAAGGCCCTTGACACGTTTCGTGTTCTAAAAGCTCGTTCGTTCCAATGCAGATAACGGTGAGTTTCATTGGTATCGTGCGAGTTCCGTTACCCGTCGTGCATGAAGCATCTTAATGTTCATTCCTTGATCTCGAACTGAACTCTCAACGCTATCAGGTTGTATGAAAGACAGTCTCGATCTCCGGGCGCGGTATGCTCGTACGACTACCTCGGATTTCTAGCACAGGGAAAAGAGGACTTCCGTTCCTGAGAATCGGTCAGATGAGATTACCCCGAGTTTCCGATCAACCTCTTAAAGCCCTTTGTGCGGAGAGAAATATTTAAAAGCATTTGATCAATGTCAATTATCTCTTCAGGATATCATCGTGTGCAAAACGTAACTATCGACGGTGTTCCCCGCGAAGTGGTCATCGATATCTGCAACATGGGGATCGGGAACGAAGGACCTTGTGGAGAGATGGGAGCCCTCCACTCAGCGAACGTGTGCTTCAAAGACGACAAAGGTCAAGCCGTTGTGCTCGGTACAAAAGCAGATGCCCGTTTAAGGTTCGTTACCCAGAAGTCGGCGACTGAGAGCTTCCTATAAAAGGGGGAGAAGAATTTGGAGTTCCTCCTGCATCGCATCGGAATCGAGATTCAGCCATCCTGACGATCCGGCAACATGAGCTGCTACTGAATGGAATTGACGTTTCTAGGTACACGGACGGTCGTGCTGTTCTCGTGTATCCTGATGGCGGCCTCTGCAAGGAGCAAAGCAACCGAAAATGGAGCACCGTCATCGAGTTCGTTTGCGACTCCGACTCGGCTTTCGGTGAACCCGTCCTCACCGAGGTCAACAAAGATCTGTGTCTGGTACAATTCGAATGGCGAACCGTTTCGTCCTGTGTGCCTGACGTCGTCATCCCCGACAGCGAGGACTACAGCGATTTCCAGGAGACCTGCATACACGTCGAGAGCAATTTCACCGTCGACCTGATATCCCTGTCCCAATCCACCGGTCCTTGGCACGTGATGGACGAGGACAAGAGATTCCCGTATCCCCTCCTGCTGAACGTCTGCTCGCCCGTCCGATCTCCCGGGCTCGCGGCGAACTGTTCGCATGATTCGTCCATTTGCGGCATCGGAGAGAACGCTCAGACGATCTCGTACGGTAAATTCTCGACGATGAAGCTGTCGCAGACCCACGCTCGACCCGTGGCCATGCTCGAGTTCTCCGCGGGCGACAAATGCGCCACGGATGCGAGCTTGAACTACAGAACGAAAGTTCACATGGTTTGCATTCCCGGAGCGGTCGGGATCAGCCCTCGATTCATCGCCCTGGACGAGAAGGAATGCGTCCTCCATTTGGAGTGGCACACGCGAGCTGCTTGTCCTCAAGGTGAGCCAAGAAGAAAATAGTTATTTTCGCTTCCGAACTTGAAATCAACCTCCCGATGTCACGTCGTCGGTCGGCTACGTCCGTCCGTGCCACGGGGCGGTCTTCGCGATGACTCAGCGAAGTCCCACACCCGGCTATCATGGGTCGTTTCTGAGAATAATTCTTTGTTTTGCAGTTTCACTCGTGAGCTCGGGCTGCATGGTCGAAAGTAAAACCCACGGTTTCAAGATCGATCTCACGCCCCTGAAGGAACTAGGAGTGCAGACGATACAGCATGAGGGTTACGAATACGACATCAGCGTCTGTGCCCCCCTCAGCGTCAACTACAAATGTGTGAACGAAACCTCGATCTGTCGTCGGAAGTTGGATAACAAGCACGAGCTCACGCCCCTGGGGGAACCATCGTCCGTGTTGACCTACAACGGAGGATTAGCGGTTATCCAGTACCACGGGGTGAATGAGTCGTCCTCGATCACCTTCACATGCGATTACAACGCACAAGCCGGTAAACCGGTCGTCTTCGCAGCGCAGCAAGGTCTGACGGCGATAGAATGGGCAACGTCATTCGCGTGTCCCACCACGAACGCTCATTACCAGAGCTGTTTGGTGTTCTCGAAAGACTCTAGTAATCATTTGTACGACTTGTCCCGACTGTCGAGGGTGAAAGGAGGCAAAGACTGGATCGTCGAAAGCCAAGACCCCAAAGACCCCACGATCAGACTTCGCTTCCACGTCAACCTCTGCCAGCCCCTGAAGCAGCCGCCGAAGGGCTGCGACCCGACGGCGTCGATCTGCGTTGAAACTATATACCCGGACAGAAAACCGACGGTTGCTGACGCGGGGCACGCAGTTAATCCCCCTATTTTCGAGAGGGGTCAGCTAATGCTCAACTACAGCAACGGAGAGCCGTGTTTGCGTCGCGGTGTGAATTCAACGCGTCGGACTGTGATACACTTCCAGTGCGGAGATCATTTCGGAGGTAACGGCGAGTACCTTCAGTTCATCGGTCGCTTGGATGAGTGCGGCTATTCTCTCCTGTGGACGACCGAAGCCGCCTGTCCAATACGCCACCAGACCGTGAAGGATGAGTGCACAGTTGTCGATAGACTCACTGGCGACGCCTTCAACGTGTCGCACATGATAGCTCCGACGTTCTACACCGCCGAAAACTATCAATTCAACCTGTGCGGGCCCATTCGGAACAGCAGCGAGTGCCCCGGAAACAACGTCAGCGTGTGTTTGATCGACAAAGACGGAAAGGGAACTGCCATAGCTACCTCGTCCGGTTATCAGTTGGACTTCATCGGCGTCGACGGTCTTCGTTTGAGCTACATGGGCGACGTCGCCGGCAACACAACCCGCGTCGAAATCGAACTCGTTTGCACCTCGGCCGAATCTTCAAAGGAAGGCTCCTCTGAAGTGCTCGGACCGGTCGGCGGCGACAGGGTGCACCGAATAATTTTCTACTCCAGCGGGTTGTGCGTGTCACAGCGCAGCGATCAGGTGATTGCCCTTCTCTCGTTCCCGGGGTCGTTCGAGTCGTCGATTCCAATTATTTCCGATGAGCCCCGCCGATGTTGAAAAAGCATATTCAAATAATTTCCTGTTACAGACATCCTGTGAAATCATCAATCGCGATACGGGCCAAGTGTACGATTTGCGACCGCTCACGAAAATGTCCCTCTTCAACTGGGAGGCTGAGGAATACACGAGCATCAATCAAGGATACACCCAGAGCAGGGATGCGGAGAGCAGATACTATTTCAACATCTGCAGGAAACTCAACCCAATGGGCAATCATGGAGACAACCTCCCGAAAGACTCGTTCGCGAGCGTTACGCACCCGGGCACTCCTCCCACCATGGGACTCAGTCTGGGTCGTCATATCGAGGAAATCGGCTTCACGAAAGACGGAACGATATTGATTAAGTACGTCGGGGGCGACCCGTGCCCGCAAACCGATTCGAACAAGACGGGAATTTCAAAAGCGAGACTCAAGTCGAGTCTGATTACGCTCGCGTGCAGTCCCAGCGATGAGGAAATGCCCAAAATACTCCGAAAGTGAGTACATATATAGAAATCATCGTACAATTATGAGCTCGATACGGTGGTCGGGAACTGGTTCTACCGGGGTAAGATACCTCGTTAATTTTTTCCCTCTCGTCACCCACCCAGCTCCGACAACTGCGACTACATATTCTACATGGAAACTCCGGCAGCCTGTCCTGTGAGGAAAGTTATCGGGGGCGAATGCCGGGTTTGGGACCCGAACTTCAAGCACGAGTACGACATCTCTCCTCTTGGCGCCCAAGGTCGAACGTACAGCGTCATGTACCCCCATCATCTAGGAACCTTCCGAATCAGCGTCTGCCAGGCATTGCGAGGAGCGGCCGAACTTTGCGGAGGTGATGACGAAGCTGCCGCGTGCCTCGTGGGCGAAGACGGCAGAAACGTCTCCTTGGGCAAAGCCTCGTCGAAGTTACAGTACGACACCGGAATTCTCACCCTGGTCTACAAGGACGGAGCCGCTGGCTGCGCATCCTCCGGCGAGAAGCGTTCGACCACGATCCATTTCCTTTGCGATCATTCTGCGAAAGTCGGAATCTCGTCTCCGCTATTTGGCTCCGTCGATGAGAACTGCGGACACGTTTTCCATTGGTACACCGAACTAGCGTGTCCACCACGAGAAGAGGTCCAATGCAAGATAGAAACGCCCCACGGTCTGGTCGACCTGAGCAAGCTGTCGAATCCGAGAGGGAACTATATCGTGAACGACGCGGTAACCCAGGAAAGCATCAAATACGTGATCAATATCTGTCGATCAGTCATTCCGAAGAAATCCGTGTCCTGTGACTTCAGGGCGGGAGCCTGCAGCGTAAGCGGCAACAAGACCATCAACCTAGGCGTGGCCAGCAAACCATTCTACAATGACGAAGAAAGTGAGTAGCCTGGGGGCGGGGGTTTTGCTTCGCTCTTTTGGTACGATTTCCATCTCCTCAGAATTTTTCATATTCCATCAATCGATGACATTCGGGAAATGCACGAGATCTCTCCGTCGGTTCCCTCTGGTTCCCGAATCTCTAATCGATTCGCTGAGGCTCTAATCGGCTCCGTGTGTCCCTTCGCAGTGTCGGTGAAGGCTTCTTTCCTCAACGGCGATCCCTGTCCCGAGGGCGGGAAAGACGCGAAATGGAGCACTTCGATCACGTTCGGGTGCACCGAGAACGAGGACAGTTTGGTGCATTTCTCGACCCAAGGATGTACGGTCTATTTCATGTGGCGTACTCGTGACGCTTGTCCGATGAGCTCCGAAACGAAACCTGTCGAGAACAGGACCTGCACCACGATCCATCCAGCCTCGAATCAAACGATCGACCTCCAGTCGCTCGTTCGAGCGGACACCGTTTCTCCGTACCGGATCCGGGGTCCGAACGGCAGCGAGTTCAAGCTCAACATCTGCGGGAAAGCTCGACAGACATCGTGCGGTGAAGATACAGGAATTTGTCTCGAGAAAAAGAACGAGAGCGCTCACAAGGTCGCTCCGCCCAGCACCAAACTTATCTGGGATGACGGTGTTTTGGCCATGGTGTTCACCGGTGGAGACAGATGTGGACTTCTGACCGGCGACCGCGAACAGAATATGAGTGCGATCATTCATTTCGTTTGTCCGTCAGCCGGTTACGGCACCGAGGCGCCGACGTTTGTTTCGCAGTCACGCGATGATTGCGAGCACAGATTCGTCTGGCCGACCGAACTGGTATGCCACCAGGTCCTGCAGTGCGTCCACTACGAAGAAGGCGAAACCTACGACTTGTCGGCACTGTCGTCACGGGCACACTCCGTCCACAACATCATCGATCCCGGTTACCAATACTTCATCAGCGTCTGTCGACCCCTCGAGCCGATCCGACCCTACACGTCGATGCATCCGAACGCAGCTGCTGTCCGGGTGGCCGTCAACACGAAACATGTCGAGAGTCTGGGCCACGTACTTCTCGAGCCTTTCACTGACTTCCAGAACGCGATCACCCTAATCTACATCAATGGAAGTCAGTGCGAATACGACGAGAAGCAACTGAACAAAGCGCGCATCATTTTCGAATGTGACTATTCCCAAGACGCCGGGGAGCCTGTGCTCATCGACATCGACAAGGATGAGTGCATTTATCTGTTCAGATGGAGGACGAATCTCGTGTGTCCCGGCGCTGGGGATCTAGCCATCATAGATCCCAGGAGGGAAAAATGCAAGTTCGAAATCCCACAGCGCGGTCTCACGATTGACCTCACGGCGCTCTCGAGAAAATCGCCCTATCAGGTAATTTCTTCCGTTGTCGCCTCGAGCTCCCGATTCCGCTTGACTGCGAGCCCTTTCATAGATACTGTTTCCGATGTTTTTTTTTCACATTGGGGACTATAGCCGTCAGAATTGCTTGGATTTAAATTGCTGGCCTGACCTCGCTGGGTCGAGCTTGCTTCAAGCGATGCGAACCCTTCAGTGGTTTTTAATTAGACGCATTGAACGCATGCTTTCCATCACGTAGTCTAATGCATGTTTTCCTCCCGATCCATTTAGCCAAAATGGGACCCCCTGGTAAGCTTTGCTTTCAGTTCAACAATAGACATTCATATATTCCTCCCCGAGAATGAGTCGTTGCGACCGTTCCCCGCGCTGCTTGGTCGATTCGGAGTAGAGCTTGCCTTGGAATCAAACGTTTTCACGAACACGTAGGTACTGATTTTCCGGGAATTTACTCCATCTCAACGCGTTCCCCTCTCTTTTCCACAGATAAAAGCGAACGGACCCGACGGGAAGGAATCTGGCACCTATTCGATGTCTCTCTGCAAGGATAACCCCACGAGCGGGTGCAGGAACTCAGAACTGTGCTTCAGCTCACAGCACGAAAACATCAGCTATGGAGTTGCGGATTCGTTCTTCTTCCAGCGCCAGAGTCTGTTCGTAAGATTCGATAACGGAAGTCCGTGCGTCGGCGCTACCAAAAAAACCCACGCAGCTCTTGTCCAGTTCGAGTGCGATCCCTTCTATGAGACCGGCGGTCCGGTCATCGAGAAACAGTTCACGTGCACAACCGTGTTCCGCTGGAAAACGGCGCACGTGTGCACGAAGCAACAGCTGCAGGAGCACTCTTCGCACGAGTGCATCATCAGTGATCGTTCCAAATCATACGACCTCACGATGCTCTCCTCGGTATCGCACGTTTGGATTCTGAACGAACCCGAGTCGAGGAGTCAATACTACCTGAACGTATGCGGGATCGGATACAATTGGCCGCTGGAGGCGCTGGACAAATGCAGCCACACTGGGGTCTGCGTAAATCGCATGGGAGACAACAAGAAGTCCGATTACAGCTCTCTTGGGGACTACTTGTCCAGACAGATGGAAGTTGTGCGAGACGACCACATTCGGATCACTTACCGCGGGGGCGATCCATCGAACTGTCACCGTCTCGACGAACACCCGACGACCGTCATCGACTTGATCTGCGCTCAAGACGGGGACCTGATCGGCACTCCAACCCTCGTTCAGGAGCCCACGTCCACCAACTGCAGCTTCGTTTTCCGCTGGTTCACGCGCTCAGCCTGCGCTGAAACCACGGACGAGCTCGTTTTGCAGAAGAATGGCTTCCTGGTTGATGCTCGTCTCCATCGAGCTTTCAACCTCACTTCGCTATTCAATACCACCTATAGGGTACAGGAACGTAGGAACCAAAACGACAACTACACCTATCTGATCCATTTGGGTGAGGTCACCGTGGGGGGCAGCCGAGCGGTTCCCTGGCGTATGGGTCCTTGTGCTCAGAGCGCCGTTTGCCAATCGAAGAAGAATTACTTCATGAAAAACCTCGGGACTGTCACCAAACAAAAGTTCCTTCTGAGAGGCCGTGAGCTGCTGCTCGAGATCGACACCGGTGCTCTCTGCTTGGACAAGGCCAACGAGACCGTGAAATCCATCTTTAGTTTCACTTGTGATAGTGAGCGGACACAAAAATCACACGAGCCGGTGAGTCGACGAAGGGGAATAGTTTTCCCGGGAGAACGCGGAGCTCAGGGGGGGGGCGCAATTCTGAAGACCTTCGCAATCCTCTTTCTCCGGGACTCCGGACCTTTTCGCATCTCCATGTGACGAGGCTCCATCGTTCCAGTAGAGGGCAAGACCTTTCTCTTCCTGGAGATATTTTATCCTCAATGCGTTGATGATTCGTTGCAGGTCTTCGTGTACGAAACCCGGAGCTGCCACTACATATTCTCCTGGCCGACCGAATTTGTGTGCGCAGACAAATTCGTTTCTATGTACGTGATCGATAACCAAGTCGGAGGAGGCGCTTCGTCAGCGGCCGGAGTCGTGACGACGCTCACCATTCTCGGTGTAATTGTGGCCGGAGTGATGATTTTCTTCTCAAAACCTGAGAACAGAATGGCAGTGAGGTCCAGAACGTTGCGTTTCTTCCGTACCGTCACAATGCCTCACTACTATTACTCAAAGGTAATCGGAATCGAAAATTCAATTATTCAAATCTATAAAGATCCCGAAAATCTTCCGAAGGGAGAAAATACTTCTCGACAAATCCAGCGCAAGGAGCAGTGGAAGTCTAAGCCCAAATCTATTCCAGACCGAATCCGAGATGCAAAGCCCGCTCGACAACGACGGGGACACTGTACTGTTGAGTCCCTCATTGGTCCTTCAACCGGAAGATGAGGATTACACACCGCTGGCCTGAATCACATTCTCCAAAAGTCTAAAATCTAGTTAAGCTCGGGACCTGAAACGGTTCTCGGTTTTGTACGAGGCCGTCCAGATGTTCCGACATGGAGTGTTGAGTGTTCAAAAAGCAAGCGAAACACAACATAGGTTAAGAAATATCGAGAAACTATGAGAACTTTTCGAAGGAGCGGAATTTTCTCCCTCGTGAGATGCGAAGTTTTTTTTTAATTCATCTAGAATGAGCACCGTGTCGCCGAGCACGGTCGATGAGGGGGGCAATCAGACAACAAGCGGATCCTATTGGAAATGGGAAAATCGTGAATACATATATCGTCTGTGATGAAAAGAGTCGGCTAGCAAGCCCCGCTCCTGGGGGCAACAAGTCAAGCCACCTTCAACGTTCCAGATGTCGATGGCTACATCGCCTTTGGCATCATGTGCCGTAAATCTTAGAATTTTCTAGTTCTATGGGTGCGGAAAGCGACGACGCGAGTTCTCTTGCGCGACGCATGTAAATATACATCTGTACAGAGAGCAATATTATTATTCAGAAATATTATGCTGATAGCCGCGTCATGGGCAATGATGTTTTAGATAATTTAGAGAAAAATATAGACGACAAAGTCGGATGGAGGCCAGACTGCAGGTCTGGCTCAGGCGAAGAATTCAACGAATCCGGCGCATCTTGTGGACTTATCTCGGACAGAGCGCATCTTCTTTCGGGGGAATGGGAATTAGATCCGAGGTTCAAGGAAGCGTTCCGTCTCATTTTTCTATCGGGAGTTTTCACGATACCAAAGGCATAGAGAAAGCGTTTTGAGGAACCGAAGCGAATCGAGCGAGATCCTGTCGGAAAACGCGAAGCGAGTAGTTCGTGAATAAAATGTGCTGTATGATCAAGAAAGCTTCAACAGTGTTCTCGATCGCATTGAATTAGACGAAGAAAAAATGACGATTCTTAGAGCACTCGGGTGGAATTTCCCTAACATTTCTCCGCCGGAGCGAGCTTCATTCAGGCGCTTTGCGCCGATCTCACCGCAGCTCTACATCCGCAGTTCCTGATTTGTCCTCAGCATGGGACCCTCTCCGGAGTCCACGACAGCGCTCGAGACCCTTCGCGATATAACTTCTGAAGTACCAATCTCTGGCTTGGCCAGACAAAGAATATCTCCCGCTCCTCCATTGGATGAACCGCCCTTATAGTATTCTGCCGAGTTCGGAATACTGGAATCCCTGCTCTACAGCTTGTGTTTCTTTTCGGGAGCGGACTTTGCCACTCGAGAGTCGAGAAGCATGTAAAGTACATGCGAACAAGATGACCCGCTTCGAGAGCGCATGGAGAGAGCGTGAGATTATCAAAAGAAGAGAGCTCAAAAACTATTCATCTATTATGGATTATATGAGAAAATCGATCCCAGTTTTTCCACGAAATATTCACGATTTTCACCGTTCACCCGTCGGACCGCGCATCCGGATTGCCTTCTAACGCCCATCCCCTATCCAATGCCTTCCACAGATGTCGTCCTTCGATCTCCGCTCGCATTACTCAAACTGAATTTATCGATTGTATGTAGATCAAGTGATAGCTCCACCGACGAGTAATGATGAGGAGAGAAGCTGAGAGAGAGACGCTGCTGGCGCGCTTCCAGGAGGTATAATGCGACCGTCAGATTTCTGTCTTTCATTTCGAGACTTCCGACCCCGTGTTTTTTACGAGAGGTTTTTGATCTGTCCATTGACGAAAGTGAAGCAATTCAAGTGATCCCAGGCACCGGGATGAATTACCCGTAGACTTGCGGTAGGATGTCAGAGAATGTCAGGCCGTCACACCTGACCTCCTGCACGTCGGAAACTCTTTGCGCATGAACTTCGACCTGATGTTCATGACCACTCAGCAACGTAGCTTTTCGAAAGCACAAGCCGTGAGCCGGGAGTTCGGTCCGATCCGACGCCCGATTTCGTGCCCACGGACCGGGACATAGGATCTCCGTGTAGTTCATCATGGAATGAGAGAGCATAACCATCGGAAATTAGTGTCCCGTGAAGAAACCTGCGCCAGATATCACGAGATGAGCGACCGACGCGAAATTATCCGCGATGAAAACTGGGGATCCTGCGCTCCGACAAGCGGGGGTGTCCGCCTGAATTTTCTCTGAATCTCGAGATTCCCGGTTTTCCACACGACCATCTGCGGATTCCTCCGGCGTTATCCTCCTAGTCCTCTTGTGAACATTTGTGTACTTGACATCGAGTTTCAGTGGCGATCGAGTTGGCCACTGGAACTCGTAAAACTCTTAATGATTCGCTATTCGAAGGAAATCTATACTCTTTAAGGAAACCTCCGCAAAATCGCCGTTGTAAAAATGGAGTCTCGTAGGCTCGTCCAGGAGCTCTGCCTGACGGCATTGATTTCGCTGTCCGTCTTCGGGCCCTTAATCGACGATGTGACCATCGACTTGAATTTTGTCATGTGGTTAACGTGCTCGTTCATGGTTCTGGCCGTGCATCACCATTTCCGTGTGGTCCTTCCAGCGTACTGGAGCTGCTCTGTGTTGGCCGTGGCGGTCATCCCGTCTGTCTACCAGGGTCTGCCGACGCTTCTCGATGGCACCGCAACCCTCGTCCTTTTCCGAGCGTGGCACGTTGGACTCCTAACGGCTCGGGGTGGCTACTCCATGGATATCGGTCTTTATCGATCGAACATCTTGCTCATCGTGACCTTGACCTGCATCGCACTCGTCGTCGACGCTTCAGCCACTTTCGGGATCATGAAGATTCTGCGATACGGGCCCTCTCCAAGCTTGGCGTTGATGGCCTCAATCTCCCCAGCCCCGTCGCCCGAGGTGGCGCTACCCCTCTTCGATTTGATGAGCGCGTCCTGCGCCCAGGTGATCGACGACTCGAAGGACGGAGGAACTGTTGAAGCCGGGCCAGCCCGCGTCGAGGAGCTCCGCAAGGAGTTGATCACGACGCTGAACACTTTCAAAGCGACGGCCTTCCCTCTGATATTCATCACAATCGGTGCGTTTTGTTCTGTGGCAAGCGAAGTGAATTTCGTCGTCTCGGATGTCGCCGGGGCGGTTCTGGTCGGCACAGACTGGAACAAGATCGCTTTGAATGCTCTGATCGGTCTCGGGGTCGCCGCGATCTTCTCGGCCGCGTTCTGCGTCGTCGGTCGTTTGTTCGTTCGCGAGGATGCCTCCCCGCAATTGGTGGCTCTGCTTCTGTTCTGTACAGCGGCCTTCTGCATGTTCTGCGTCGGAGTCTACGTGCCCGTAGCAGCGGCCCTGGCTGCGATCGGCGCCTGCTTGAGTTTGCGCTTGAGTAGCGGATTCAACAAGAACGCCTTTTCCGTTCTCTCAATGCTTTGGCCCTATACATCACTCCTGTATTACACTACGTTCGCGTATGTGGTTGTGGGTTATTTCTGTATGCATTGGGCAGAGGCCCGGATAAACTTGTGGAAAATGTCGGCAGCAAGTCTGCTTTTGTTCGCTATCAAGTTCCTAATCGTGGCTTTGGTATCATGCGGTTTCAAGATGAGTTTGCCCTCCAGTCTCACTCTCGCTCTATCGCTATGTTCGAAAGGCACTGTGCAAATCGCCTTGTGCGCTCTTCTGCCCCTGAAAGTCGGTCTTGGGGGATACGGTAGCTTCGTAGAAGAGGTTTTTGCTCTCCAGCTCTACGTGCTGATAAATTACCTGGTTGTATCGCCGTGCATTTATGTCTTCGCGCGACTGATTGTCATTTGGATAGAAAAACAGTCGCGCAGTGAGCCTGAGGCAAAGCGTAACACAATTCAGAACCCACAAGTCTAGTGGAAAAAAGTCTCCGTCGGAGTCCATGATCCGAGGCCCTGAATTGGCTGGAGACCTCATCGCCGCTAGGGATGCATTCCGAATATTCCGCTGTTGGATAACGGACAAATTCAGCGTCGCTCCCAGTCACGAGCTTGAAGGTCCGGCGGGGCGACTCAATGGATGAGGATCCGATTCAGTATGGCTCCTAGATTGAGGAGCCAGGAGCCATACCGACTCTCAGGGTATATGAAGTCTGAGCACGGACTTATCGGCCGGAGGCATCGATCTTCAGATTGAATCCATCATCTTGTCACCGGGACGTTCACTTTTTGGTAAGGGAGGCGGTAAGGGGGCAGTAGATCATTGGACAGATCCCGTCAATCAATTCTGATTGAAACAAGCATTGTGTATACAATTATTGATATTTATATATAGATAATAGCACACGTGTGAGCTCGACAGGTCAGATCAAGACGAGATCGGTCGAGAGGATGGGTGACTCGATAGGACATACCTATTCAGAGAAAGTCATAGTGCAGCTGAATCTCTGCATGCACAGAGGTTTCGGTGGGATGATTGTGATGGAATTTGTCAATAAAAATGTATATTTCGTTCTTGGAAAGGACCGCGCTCCTACCTACGTGTGCACTGTCTGCTTTCCACCCGGAGTACCAGAACATCCTCCGATGAGCTGTGGAACTAGCAAGTCGAATCCATCCGATAGCCGTCGTGTCCCTCTTCCCAATCTTTCAGCACTCGGAAGAACGGGTTGTTATCGACGGAAAGGCTGATCTCCGTTCGGAGCTTCGCTCATCAAGGGCGTTTCCATCGGTTGCATTGGCTCCAGCCCCATTTCGGAAATACCATGTCATCTGCCTGCTCACAAGAATCGGACGAGAGGAGTATCAGAAACGATTTTCATCGAGGTTTTGCGTGCTTCGGGACAATAATCCTCCGGTACAAAATACTCAGCGGAGAGCCTTTGATCTGACGATTCGTCCGGATCCGGAATCAGATAGGAGCCCCCTCTGCAGAAGTCGAGGCCACAAATCTCGGATGACACTTGGCGATGTGATTTGGAATGCGGGAAGACGGAGGGGAGAAGCAGATCCTAATCAGCGACGGGCAATTGGCGTGAAATTCCGAGACACGTATTCGCTCAGCAGTCGTTAGCTCGTCGCGGATGTCCGCAATACTCGGTGTCCTTTCCTCCGTATTGAGAAGTCCGACTCCGAACTCTTTATCCTTCTTCGTGCTGCTCAATCGGTATCATTAAAGACACGAACCACAGTAAGCGACCCTGCCGAAGTCGCTTTGTATTCGGGTCCACCTGGCGCAGGTCTGTGTAATGGCTTCACTCCTGGCCAAGGGCATGACAGACTGAATATTAAAAGAAGCAAAAGCCCGAGCTTCGCTTAATGAAAAGCTTCATAGCTGCCCAGAAAGCTTCATCATTAGAGAGTTCAAATGAGCATTGATCGGGATGGATCGATCTCTCCACAATCCTGTTGCATGATCCCTTCGATAATAGCTGTCCGGATTGAGTGGCGCGCGTGAAGAAAGAGAGCACTCATTTCAGAATGGCTGGGAGCGCTACCTATTGTCTTTGTAACGATCACCGGTGAGCTTGGGCTAACCTTGCCCTTAATTCGCTGCTCGATCTCCTGGCAAGATTTGACCACAAGCATCAGCCGCAATGGCGATAAGAGGTTTCCGGGAGCTTACTCTGCGCTTGACCTTTATTCTCTTTCGATATCAATTTAAAATAACCGGACGACTGACTCCCATAGCCGAGAGAGATTTTCTCAAGTATTCCGAAAGAATCGCAGCTGATGGGCTCTGAATTCATTGCTAGTCGACCTTTGACAGGCGGCATCCGTCGTGACGTCAAATATACTCGAATATGACGAATATTTAGGATTCGGACAGGATTGGTCCGGGAATCATTCAGTTCATCACCGAGCCTGAGAGCGAAATGTTCGCATTTGGTTTCAATAAGTACCGTATTCTGCAACTCGGCGTTTTCCCTGGAATGGTGGAAAGAACTTAGTCAGAGCGCTGCCATGACCCATGAGATGAAACTGAGAAACATCGCTTGGAACTAAATATGGAGAACGACTTCATCCACCCGACGTCCCCAACTGGACTACAACACACTAGAGCTATTCCGAGTATGACTGCACCTGCGGCGGATTCCAGCGTCCAACACAAAGCGGAAGCTGAGCTTACATTCATCGAGATGATCCGGTCTCCTTGCGGCGTGGATCTTCTTCGGAAGCTCGCGAAACAAACCGATACGCTAAGGCAAAGGGCATACAGAAGGAGTGTGGAAGTCACTGGGAAAACTTCTGCAGTCTTCGAGAAAACCGTGAGACAGCTGAGCAAGAAGATGAATATTCCACCGAAGATATGCACGGGCAGTAGCCTGAAATCGTGGCAGAAATAAATCTTTTTTCGCGAGGCTTGATCCTCTAGGATAGACATCGAATTCACGAACCCACGTTTGTCTGAAGTTGTTCGTCGCTCCAGGGGCGAGGAAGGTGACGAAGGCCGCCACGTATTGGATCAGGTAAAGGGTGGCAGAGAAGAGTCCCAATCTACCATGGATCCCCGCAGGGATTCCGAACCCTCGTTTTTCCCAGAAAACTAGGACGAGAGCTGCGAAGACGCAGATAAAAGCCACGAGATGCACAGTTGCGTGCACGGATTTGGTCACTGATTTGCGGACATTGCGCAGGAGTCTGCAATGCCCAAGGAGGAAGGGAAGACTGTGATTCGGAATATCGCAGAGAAGAAAAATTCGGGGTCCGACTTGTCTGGCGTGATTTTAAGCACTCGCCTGAAGATGAGGATCGACTCGCCCTGGAGGATGATCAAACCCAACGAGGCGAGAATCGGATGCCAAACACGCCTCGAGGGCGGGAGGATATCTCCCCAACCGGATATCCATTTCATCAGGCAAATCATGAATGCGAAGCCAGTGATCTGTGTCAGGGCAAAGGCTCCATAAAAGATCTTGAGGGCGACTGTCGGGAGGAATCTCGTCATACGTAAAAGGAAGCATATCGAAGAGCAAGGGCCATGCGGAAATGATTGCGGAGAATCGTTTTCTCCTTGGTGGGCGACAAGAGCTCGGAAAATCCACCCTTCTAAACTCACGGGGGCTGACATCCGAGGACGACATCCCTGTCTGTGATTTTTCGTAGCGACACCCTCACACAGTCGAATGGAAGCGATGACAGGAATGAATATTCCCTGAGCGATCGTTCGAATCGTTTTTATCTCGATGACTCCTCGCTCTTCTAGTCTCGGGGAATTAGTGGTGTTTCGTTCTCTGCTGCCACGTGCGTTATCGTAAATCAGTTCTAACCATCATTGACGATCTCCGTCGCGTCGGATGATACATGGAGCAACTGAAGCAGAGTCCCCCGAAGTGAATAAATATATGAAGGGCTCCATGAGGAGCTTCCGAACCTTCGAGATCGACACTACCGAGAGAGACGACGTCATTTGAGCTTGTATGGATCGGTCTAGTAGGTGAATATCTAGTCCTCGCGGACTCGATCGAGGGGGATTGGAAATGGAGTGATCTCGGAAAAGAGTGGGCTGAGTGAGAGGGAGTCATCTCCGGAGCCTTAACTTCCAGTGGGAACTACGAGTACTACATAGTAGCCACACTCGAATTTGACTACATGAACCGTCGAAATCGAGCCTAATCGATTCTATTCCACGCTACACTTCCCTTGGCGTCTGGAAAAGCTACCGGGACAGGGTACCGGTCGCGAGGATCCGGAGTTGAATCGGTGCATTAGTCATGGATATGTTCTGGGGAGCCCATCCCTGGAAGGACCGTGGGCAAGCCGATAAAGCAGAAGATCCACCCGCGAAAGCTCAAAGCCCTCGAACGAAGGAGTAATCAGTCAATGGTGGTTAGGTCATCGTGACCAAAATCATAGCCTGAATGCACGTCTCACGAGTTTTCTGCAGCAGACTCGAGATGATCGTATAGCGCACCGATTACATTTCTGAACCAATCGCTCCCTACGTACCTACATCACTTCCTAGTCAGTTCCTAGCTTCGCAAGATCTCGGGTCGCTCGATGCGATTGTCCTTCATCCGCCGATCCTAGACGAAGACTCTACTGTAGCGTTGCGGAACCGTACTTTAAGGGAGCGGTACGGTCCTAGAACTGAGGATGCTCGGGGCGCCCGGGGCCGCGCCAAGCTACAGCAAAGATCATCTCAGTGATCGCCTACGCCGCTCGATTTGATCAATGGATTCTTCAATCGTCACAAGGGCTGATCGCGCCCCGATCCCCTACGCCCATTCTCTCAGGCGTCAGTTCAAGAGTCCGACTTGATCTGATATAGGCACCAAGCGGAGATACTTAGTCAATTCATTAAACTCCCTGAGTCGAAATGTCTTATCCCGAAGTACCCATTCTCGCGCACGGTAGCAGACGAAGCCCTTGTTGGTAAATCAGTCGGTGAAAAACAGATATCGTCACTTGCTGTTATTTCCGCGCACCGCACACGCAGAGGGGTCCTGTGATTCCGGTGAACGGGGACTCGAGAGGTGCAATAGCAGCACATTCTGTCTCGGAGAACTTCTGCAGGAGGCTGAGGACCGCGCGAAGAGAGTCAAGAACCTTCCAAATCCGTCATGCTTCGAACGTTGATTCAGCGAGGCACTGCTCGGACCGGATCTCATCTCTGCTCTACCGTAGCCGGTGAGGAACCAAGGCATAGTCGATTTCTGCTCCAATTGATTGTCTGGTGATAGCTCGAAAGCCTTTGCAGAAAATCGCAAGTTTCCGAAGCGGGTCCCCTCGCTCTTCATATCAATCGCTCCACGGATGCTAGAGCGCCAAGTAGTCTCTCCCCGCGCTATGAATTTTGTGCTGATGTATTGAGCGTTGGGAGTTGGGGTCTTACAATAATTTTTCGATATTCCGCTAGCCTCCACGCCATCCCCGGGTGTTTCAAATGAAGCCGCCGCCGGCGAAACGAACAGTGACGAGGTAATTCGTGGTCGTCCGAAATGACTGACCCTCCACAGCATTTCATCATGAAGATAGAACATCCATTCGGATGAGGCACCGGAGAATTCCTCGGAGAAATTCTCTTCTCCCATAATAATCGGCCGGATTTCTGTAACTTTCGCAGCCCATATGGGACATGGAGAACCCCTTCAAAAAGACGAGACGCGAATGCATTCTGTGCAGGAACAAGATCGAGGTCGACTACAAGGCACGTTATCCGGAGACTTGAGACAACGGGTTCAAATTCGATTCATGAACCCCTCATCTCGTAACGAACATATAGGCCGCGGAAGTCGGTTGCAAACCTCCAACCTCCCGAAGCACTCGTTGAGCCAACTTCCTGTCTATGTTACAGAATACCCAGCTCCTCTCGCAGTTCGTCTCCAACTACACGGGAGAACTCTACCAGAAACACATCACGGGTCTATGTGAGCATCAGCACCAAAAAGTCAGACTCGCCTTGCATCACGCGCAATGCATCGGCATACTGCCTCACTATCACAAGGATTTGAGGTTCATCAGAGACCCCAAATTGTTCGACCCATTGCATCCGCAGAGGCCTAACCCTCATTAATAAGTTCAAGAATAAATTTACGCCCATAGTCTCGCTGTACGAGTACTTGTTCCCCGCAATGAGGAGGGGTGGAGATTCTTCTCGTAAACGCAGTCGAACTTTTTTTTCAAATCATACATATAAGCGAGTCTTTTTGTTATCATGATAACTCCAATATACAGTGGGCAGCTCGGGAATGTTAAGGCTTTCATCTCGAAACTAGGCTCCGCGTCGAGCGTAGAACCTAGACAATGCCGACGATCTTCGGATGGATACACACGGAGTCCATGGCGCTGAGGATGTCCCCGATCTTGACCCCGGACTCGCAGAGGTTGGTGAAAGTCCTGAGGAATCCCAGTGAGTAAGGATTGGACGGCAGATTGAAGCAAATGTTGTGGAACCTCTCAACGGCTTGACGGTAGCATGTGTGGTCTTTCAAAGTCAATTTGCGTTGGAGCGCTTCGGCGGCGCCGAGACTCTTGGCGATTTGGGTGACCTGAGGGAAAGGGAGAGACTCGTGAATTCAATGTTCAGATGGAATCCGAGGGATCAAAATCAGCCCTTGCATCAGCCGGTGCGCATCCGCCGACGGCAGCGATTGCGTACCTTGTTCCTCAAGAAAATTCGATTTCGGAGCAATTGATTGAGGTCTTTCTGCAATATCGAACGCGTGTCTTCGTCAAACGAATTTCGAATTCTCCTCCTCAGGATGGCCACCGGGACATCTCTCGCATTGGTCGCATCCAAATGGGCCCGGGGTAGTTTTTCCGCCGTCGCTCCTTTTGTCCCCTGGGAAAAAAATCGCGAACATTAGATCTTGTTCGGAGGATGCGAATTGCGAACTGAGAATGCGAATTGAATCAGTCTTCGGCTCGAGATGATGTTCAAACGGTGACCTGGAATTGGGATACCGGGAACGAAGAACCCATCGTGAGGTTTCCGTACTCGTGGACGGCTGAGGTTGTGGTTTCGGCTTTCACGATCGAGTACTGCTTCTGAAGAGTTTCCTGGCTCAAATTTTCGATATCGGAGTCCTGGGGGGATCGAAAATTGAGTGAAGATGCTCACCAATCGACGTGGACGAGACATCCGCGGGTGGTGAGAGATCCGTGAGTAGTTCATTCGGTTTACATTAATTCATTCGTTCAGCGGGATTATATTCATTACCTCCATCCATTTGACTGAATAAACGTCACCGAGGTAGGTTTGACGCAGATCGTCAAAATAGCAGGCGTATGAGCTCTCGTCGGGGGAAGAAGCGGTCGTCGCGAATACATTGATATCCTCTGGCAGAAGACCCGAGAACATGGAGCCACTCTCACACGCTTCCATGTAGAACACGAGTTTTGCGTAGCGTTTATTGCTGTGCATGTCGACGAGAGTCTTGACCAGATCTAGAACAGGCGACACGGAGCGACTTGATGTAATGGACTTAGCATCCAATTATTAAGAGAGAAGTTTGAGGAACGTCGCGCGCCATTTCCTACCGGTTGAGTAGAGGTAGTCATTTGGGAATGCCACGAGTCCTTGGGCTCCATGGTCAGCAAAGTAAACGAAGATGTGATCTTCAGGAGTCGATTCGATAACCTGCACGCCGTGGAATCACTTCCGTAGGTGTCGTTCCAGGAGTATCAAAGGCGACATTGAAAAATGTAATTTGTGAGTATTTGACGGAGCTCACCTTCCCGGAGCCGATACCTCTCAGAGCAGTAGTGTCTCCCTTCAGGATACTCAGAAAATTCTGGGGAGACACGTCGTTCCCTGTGTAGTCTTTCGGCACGCCGCGGTAAACATCCGATCCGTCAGGATGGTTTATGATGACTCCTTTGGTCGGGTTATCGGAGCTGGCGGCAAAGTTTTTCTTCCATTAGGGAATTAAGCTTTGCATTGGATCTAATTGAGGTAGAATTGGCGCTATGGATATACCCTACGCAGCCCCCGACAGGTTGCATCGTCTACCGATGCATGGGGAATCGGTCGAAGAGCTGCCAAGTCTATAGACTTCCCTAAAACAGTCAAGTGAGTGTCATCCGTTCCCCGGTCGATAGCAGATCGATTGAAGCAGCAAATTTCGCGCGTGTGGCTTCAGAAAGCTTCCTTAGCTCAAGCCCGGGAGCGCGACCGATAAGACAGACGATTCCGCTCAGACTTAATCGCTCGTAATCAGGTTGGCACTTGAGATAGCGCTCATGATTCTACATCCTCGGGTCACCGCACCATGGCGACGGAGCTCATTGGCTCCTCGTTCCTTTTTGTAGTTCTTAGGCGATCATCGAATCCACAATTCGCGCTCCTTGGGGTCTTAGAGCTTTCCTGGTGTCTCACCTGTTGGCGATGTCGTCGAACATCATGACCACTATCCGTTCGTCTGGAACTCCATTTCTGTGGAGAATTTGGTACGCATGGCACACATCGGCTTGGTGTCGGTAGTTGTAGTAGCCGTTCGATCCGGCCACGAGCAGAGCCCATATCCGAGGCTCGCTATCTGCTGACGAACACAGTCCGGCGATGGAAAGCACCACCGCCGCGACGAAAGGCAGAGAAGAGGATAACATGCTCGTCTGAGCACTCGAAACACTCTTGACCGTACTCTGGCTCTCCCGCGGTACTATATAACTGTCGGCCGTGACGGTGAGATCATGCTCGAGCTGATTCCCTATAAGCCGGTGATTTCGACTCAATAATTCGCCCTACCGAGAGTCTGCTGGGGTTGTCTTTAAACGACATCATCTTCGTGGATGATAGAATCCATATGAGCCCACATCATCGCAATTCATGCGCGTTGGAGAAAAACTACAGAGTCATCTTCCGGAAAGCAAACCTGCGCCGCTGTGCCGATGACGTATCATAAGTTGCATTGTCCGAATGAGTTCCATCTCGCGTAACCTAGCCCCCCCCCCATTCGACTCCTTCAAAGGAGTCTCACTCCGAGCTACCCACCCTTCCGCACGGGAAGTCCTGAAAATATCCTCTCGGTCGAGGACGAGCGACCGATGCCACGGCCGGTCGAGTAGTCGGCGCGTCTGTCATATCTCGTGCGAACGTGCTCGTCTCGTTCTGGAGGCCTTCCGTGGAAAACCGCTCCCACCGCCGGCGGAATATCCTCACGGAATCTCCTCACGGGAGAGCGGGCCTGATCCTCTCGGCCTTGATATTCCTTCGGACGGCCGAACATGGGCTCCCTGGATCCGTTCCCACTAGCAATGTGAAGGATTCGGGACGTGGAACCCTTGCAAAGTGGTTTAGCCCGAAAATTTTCGAATTGGATAGCACAAAACTGCTACAGCGGTCATTCGAGACCTAGGTCGCCATCCTCCTGTCCTCACAGCTGAATGGGATTCTCACTCAGCTCGACCAAGCGGATCCAGTATCGTACAGGTCCGTCAGAGGGATCGTGGATCGTCTCGATATGAGTTACCGTACCATACAATTTATTGACATTTCTACGCTTGCTGATAGCATCAAAACTTCGTGTTGCTCTTCCCGCCGGACAGTGGATCCGTCGCGCTCTGGACGGACTCATTCTTCAACTTCTGTTCACTATGGAATCGTCGTGCGAGTTCTGACTGAGCTTGGATATCGTCTTCGATAATCGATCGGAAATCACTCCTACTCAGAGAGTAGAGGGAACAATAGGTTTCTGCGATCACCGAAACGCGACTCGATTCCTGCACCGTGAAGAGACATATTTCTGCAAAAGTTTGAAGGGATCTTCATTACTCGATTGTGATTTTGGATCGCCTGGCTGAGCTTAGAGGCTTCATGGCTTGGTAAATGAGAGCTCCCGTTTCATTGAAGCCGAAAATGATATCTACAAAGTGATCCCTCGTGAAAGCCAGGATTATCGCGGTGTATCCGCTCCCCGGCAATGTCCGACGAGTCCAGGCAAATGTCAATTAGGCCCGGAAAGTCGCACACCATGAGCGTCAGGCCGACGAGAGAAATGATTACTCAGAACTGACCCCCAAAGAAAGCCCCATCTCTTAAATGGGCTATGATGGTTCCGTCCAGCAGTGCCATGGACACGTTGCCGCTTTCCAACAGGTACATTTTTGAGCCGACAGATCCCCCGCGGACTATGGCGTCTCCGGGCTGGAAATATTCGTGACGCAATCTCTTGATCACTTCTTCCTTGAAATGTTGCCCCATATTCATGAACACAGGAGTCTGGAAATAAGTTTTGTCTTGAATAACTTTCGCGGGTTTGCTGAGCGACAGAGACCCTGTTCGCCCTCCCGTCCGCAATTGAATCAATGACGACCGTCTTGCGCGGGATTTCCGAGAGTGAGACTTCGGAATGGCGAGGTTTCCGAGAACTCACCTTATTGACGAGCGCCTGGCAGCTGTAGCTCAGGATATCGTCACGCAGAACGTCCGACATCTGGTTCAAAATCTTCTGCTCGTTGAAGTAATGTCCCCGGTATCTTTTCTCCAAGAAGTCATTCACTCGCTCCCGCAAGGCTTGCGGCAATTTCTTGTATTCCATATATTCACAGACCTCGGACATCTTCGCGGAGCACATGGGAACGAAGAGGATTCAGACCGATTGGTATTTAGATATGTATACATGTACCATACGATGTAGACATATACGATAATCCGCCATCTTTCCTCTGCGATACGAGGATGGAGGTGACAATACTGGAGGTCGGTGACAATACTCGGGGGTACTCACGAGTTTGTCGTGAGCAGTCTTGGTGAACTCAAAGTTTTGCACTATTGTAGTCACGTTGGCCAGGAGAACGGTGTAGCCGACAGTGCCTGGAGATCGGAATCAGCATGGATGAAAAAATGAACCGTCGCTGTCGCTTGGAGCTCAACGTGTCTTTTGTCTATGATATGTCATTCTAAAATCTTCACCACTCACCCGAGACGAGAACATAGAAACAAAGGAAGATCTCGTCATCGGTTTGAACTTCGACTTTGCCGAATCCAACCGTAATCATCTGGCAGAGTGCACTGTACAAGCTCCAAATGTATTTGTCGTAATTGTTTTTCCCCTGAAAGATTCGCATAGAAGGAACCACCGTACGGAAAACGCCTTAAAGTCGGTTCGCCTCAAAGTTTTCAAATCCTCCAGGAATGGGTCATCATCTGTGGGTCGCGTATCTACCAGGATTCCCGCTGAGTGGACCCAACTCCCGCGCGGGAAATCCTGGATCATTGGCACGAAGTAAAGCAGGCATCCGTTGAAATGCGCGAGGAACATAATGCAGACCACAATATTTGCTATTCTGAAGTAGATTCGATTCGAAGTGCTGACCTGGAAGATATAGACGGTTGGATAGCTGCTTCTCCCTCGATGGAGTTGCACAAGCCGATTTCGTTTGTTTGTTTCCTTGTGGGAACAGGTCGAAACTCACGTAAATATGTTGCCATTCGTTAACTCGACGAATGAGAGAAACGATTCGCAGTAGTTTAGGGGTGCCCAGAATGGTGGCGCTTTTGATCAGGGCTTTATTGGTCAACTCGACCAGGTGAACGATCCGGTCGAACGGGACAGTCCCCAAGAAATCAACTGCGAACCAGCCTTTCAGGTATTTTTTCGCCAAGTATCGCCTGTCCAAGCGTATTTCATTCGCTACTATCACGCCTGGAATCCGTAAGATTTACTGAGATGTATCCCACAAGCGATCTCTGAAATCCCTGCCGGCAATCGTCTCATCAGACACTGCTCGGGCGAGTCTAAAGCCATCGAAGAATTTTGAACAGCGACATCCGCGGAAGGAAATCGTGCAGTTCCACATTTTCCGCGAGTCTCAAGTCGAGTCTTGACGAACTCCGCCTGGGGTGCGGAGGAGGCAGGATACACACCTGAGTAAAAGTTCACCACTATGTCAAATGCGAATATTGTTGTAGATGAGAAACTGAAGAAGAGCCAGGACGTCGAGTTTTCCGTCACGCAGAAAGCCAATTGCACGGGTAACAAGAGTGCGTTGATTGACAGTGCGATCACAATGATTATGTCCCACGCCGATCTGGAGTATCCAAACCCAGGTCAGTGCGTTCGAAAACCTTGTCGCTCTATTCGACATGAGACATGATATCGGCGACGAGGGAAGAAAAATCAAGAAGAAATCGTTACCTGAATCGGGAGCACGGATGGATGATGGAGTAACCCAACTGTAGCTGCCGATGCTGTTCTTCCATGAGAGCGGTCGTAGAATCGAAGAACTTCATCGAGAGACTGTTCTGACTGGGGAGGAACCAGTACTCGTACAGAGACGACAGGAGAGAGCTCGGAGTCTGGAAATCCGAACTGCCGGACATGGTCTTCAAATCTTCCGAATCCCACCGCTCGATCTGATCGATGTTTATCCCTCCCGCCATTTCGACTTTTCACACGCCGGACACTAACAGGTACGCTGCAAGGGTCAGATGCAGCAAATCAGATTAAGGATTGAATTAGCCTGGGGAAAACACCCATCAGCGATAAGTATATTTGATAGGTGAGCTTGATAAGTTTTCTCTGATTCGAGTCGATGTTATTAATCTCCGAAAGAAATCTCAACGGTTAACTCACTACATCCAACGGTTTCCGGAGCAGCTCCGGGGCGGCAACGAGAGAGGTTCGCTATGGATGCCGAAGCCTCATGCTCTCAGGCAAAACACCTTTCCTCGGGAACTCCCGAGCATGACTCAGATGGGTTCGAATTTTGGGGACAGCTGCATCCAAGTCACATTCCATACGTCAACATTCGGCTGGGTAATTTCTGATTTATCGACTGCGTGCGTTCTTCCTCAGGATTCCGCTTGTTTCTCACAGTTCACGGGCGATGTCTTCAGGACCCATCCGAGGATCAGTCTTTTTCCACAAGGCAATCGTCAAATCGACCCACTTGTCGTGACATTGAAGCGCTCAGCGCGGAAACTGACATCGGACGAAGCCAAAAACACTTGTACGTTGGGAACTCCTGACGTCTGGATCACAAATGTTCCGCTCTGTTTGTATTGCGAGCTCTCTTATCATGGATCGTTGGGTGTTTAAACTGTCGAAAATTGTTCTGAGCTGGGAGCGTCCACTCTCAATGCGATCATACACGCCCCTACGGACGAATCGAGCGGTCCGACGGCCGCTTGGTCGAACCTAAAAGGGGCAGACCACTCCGTTGTTGAGGCGAGAAATTCCCGACTTGATTCACTGGTTTGTGTTCACAGTTGTTCAAAGCGTTCACGGAACTCATCGTCGCGCGGGTCGGATGTAGTACGCGTTTCAATCGAGAGGGAAAAGTGACTTTCCCAGTCGACTGCTATCGAGTCTCACCTGAGGTGTGCGTAAGTCAAGTTCGCGCTGGCGCCGCAGAGACAGCGTCTCGCAGGATTTCGCCGGGAGTCGGTCCCTAATGAACGAGAGAGTCCTTACATAAGCTCTTTTGTCGTTCGGCACTTCGATTGTTCCTCGGATACTCTCCCACCGTTCATTTTCCTGTGGGACGGCGCTCCCCGACTTTCTGTCATCTAGGACCCCCCTTGGATATTGGCACCGTGCTCTGGACCCCTGCGATAAGGTTTAGAAACGAATAATTATTATGTAAGGAGCTAACAGATTTGTGTGTCGACCGAACGAAACGTCACGCTGGGCGACGGGCTGCGGATGAGAGCGGGCTTGCTCGATTTTCAGCGGAACCCAATGATTGCCTCCACTTTTCTCCCTGACCACAAGCTGGGAGATGTGAGCGTCCGTACGTGATTCGTTCTCCGATGATCCTTTCTGGACATGATCAATCTGCCGAGACAAGCTGGAGGCTTGTCGGTGAGCTGTGACTATATGAAGGAGACGCTGTTCCAACCGCGAATAAATATGGAAGATGACGATTATTCCGTCGCGGATCTGGCGGACTCCAGGGCGTGTCTTCGAGAAATTCTCGGTATCTGAGAGCCTCAGAGCGGAGACGCTCTCCGTGACACAGTGAAGGAGGGACAAAAAGAATAAAGCGAGGCGCATCAACTTCTAGGAAGTCTTGGAGGAAACAACGCTCGCTAGGTGTCGAGAGGGAGTAGACCGCGGAATCTATAGCGCAGCGATTCGCGATCTTGAAGTGATCTGAACCAACTCTCAATCGGGGGAGTCGTGAAACTCAAAACAATGATATTCCATATGGATCTTGGGGGCTAGTAATCAGAGGTGACGGTGCCAGAGGGAGTTTTGAAAAAAGGAAGGATCGATTGAATTGTAGTTCGATTTATTCTGATCTCCCTCACATGTTTCTGAGAGAAATGGTTGCTGGAAGCTCTCTGCATCCTTCTCGAGAATCGAGCCAGATATCTAGAAGAGGGAGTCTCTGCCTCGGAGAAGGTGACTGATTCCGATGGAAATTCCGATCTCACTAGGACAAATCCCGAAAAGAAGCGAGCTTCATTTTTTCTTCAGGGTGGATGCCATTTATCCATCTATACATCGATCGATCGATCGATCAATCAATCAATCAATCAGTCAGTCATATCCTGGTAGAACCGGATCCGATGATCGCTTGATACTATCTCGAAGTCCGAGATTTTCATCTTGATCGAATGTGCTATCGACTAGATTCTTGGAAAAGCGAGTGTTGTCGATTATGCTGGGGTCTCTGAGCCCGAAGTCCTGATTCCGATTGAAATCTCGGTTGTTGAGTCTCAAGAAGTCTCGGTTGAACTGCGTGTTCGGTACGAAGTCATTGCGATAATTATCGATGTTGATCGCCGTCCCGTATCTGTCATAACAGACAGCATCGTTGCATTTGTTCTCGCAGCAGTACATACCTGCGATCAGGGGATATATTTTGTCAGAACAGTCAAAACTGCAAATCCTAATAATTGGAATCGATAGGGAATCAGGTTTTTCTTCGCAAATCCATGCGAAAACAAGTTCCCTTCGAATTCCTTCGGTTCTGAGGGGTAGCTTACCGTCGCGATTACAGCCGTCCAGACGTGCCAAAGTGCATGTTCTCGCATGTCCAGGGCAATGCACTCTCTCCGTGGTATGAGCAGGACATCTGGAATCGCGCGGCAGCTGGACACCGAGCGCTCCACAGAATCCGGAGAGCGCCAAAGCACCCCAGATAAGCTTCATTCCGTCAGTGTAGTAACTCTGGAAACCTGGAACGGGGATCACCGGGTTGATTTTGTGACACGAAGATGACTGTTCCGCCGCAGAAATCGGAGCCGATGCTTGTAACGGTACGACGACGCCGCGCCATGGGATCACTGGTGGCAGCAGCGCCTCGGATCCCAAATGGTCCCTGTGGCAACAGTTCGTTGACAGATGTGATTTCAGCTCGACAGAAAAGCCAGCGAGAGGCCCTTTGCTTGAAAACACAATGCTTCGCTCTCGATCGACTCCGCTCGACCGTGTGTTTCGGCCAGAGTGCAAAGACCTTCCGCTTCCACTTCGTTACAGGTTCGATGCGGAAATATAGTTTCGATAGGCGATTGAAAACTCCGACTGAACCAACCTCGCAGATGGTAGAGACAAATATTTGGCTCTATGTGAGGAATCCTGAAGAAACCTTCACGCACCACTTCAGAAAATATCCTTGTCAGCAAACTCAGACGATTCAGCGTTGGATTATTATCGCTGGACGGAAAAACTTCGCGAACAGAAAGAATTATGGAATGTGGACATGGAAAGTGTTTCGTTTCGGAAGAATTCTGCGGAGAAGATCCTTTCCCTTCTTCCTTCAACTGTGGTGATGTGTTTGGCCCATAATGGGCGCTGACTTCCGGCAACCACTCAATCCAAGAATGCACACGAGATAATACGTCGCTGATCTAACCACGTCACTGACGATCGCAGTGATGTTAAGACCAGAGATTTCTTGGAGCATCGCTCCTCATTAAGTGTCCACCGAACTCTTAGCAAAATTCCGTGCACGAGAGCAGAAAAATATTTTTATTTCGGAATGTATTTCCTGAACTATTCCCAGAGATCCACAGGTGCCCGTGGCCCATGCACTGAGGAAAACGAGGCCTGAGCTCCGGGGCGCCTGTCATGTGCACAAACTTCATTCAATCGTCCCAACCATGGTGAAGCTCGAAAAACTGAGTCAATTCTGGATGCTCCCAGTATTCGGGGAGCAGTACATCGGTCAAAGCTGCCCCCAATATCCACCTGTCCCAGGCATCGATCAGCGCACCAGTCGACTTGGGATACGATGCCAAAAATTATTACACCTCGCTGAGGAAACTCGCGCAATACATATCATCATCATCATGTATATACATAGCTTCGAAATGGTCGCATTCCGTGAGATTTAAGAGACAGATAGGCTTTGTTTCCGCGATATTCGAACAAAAAAAACTCACAAACAGCTGATGTGACCTCTCTTCAACAATATGAAGCAAGAGAGCCAAGTCAGAGCACAGAAAATATTCCGTATGATGCGCGGGCTTCTGGCGGCAAGCTGAAATAGTGCACTCCTAGTCGTGATCGGCTTCGACGTTGAGAGTTGGCGTCGAATCGCGAAGGTAGGCACTATATAAGCTCGGACCGGGGAAGTAAAGACTTTACCTCGTTCTTCAAGAGCCAATATCCGACTTTTATCGAGTGGAGTCGCCAGCCCGGAACCTCGAAATATCTTACTGTTTACATGTATCTTCAGGTTCGTCTTATTTCGAGGGTGGACGATCTGAATGTCTTTCTCGATCACACTTTTCAGAGTCGACGCGCAACCTGCCAGGTTGGGTCTGCGATTCGGGTCAGGTTGGATTAGTATGTCACCGTACTTATATTTCGCTGCCGAATGGAAGCATGAGTCAATGTACGAATTGAAGTCTTGATCTGAGAGGAAACGATTCGTCGTCTCGATCCAGTGGAAAGTGAACATGAAAACCCCAAGCTGATCTTCAGACGAAGAGAAACAGAAGGGAGCCGAGCTGCAGTTCCTCGATCCATGCACCGAAAATTTCTGAGTGTCGTAAAGATTCAACAATCCGACTCCTGAGTCGTAGATACTCTGCTTCAAGAGAATCAGCATGCTGAGCCAATGATAAACTTCTGTGGACGGGAGATTCCATCAGAAAGCGGGATATCTATCGAATTGAATTGAATATGAGAATGAATCGGCAATCGTCACCTATCATTGCTGGATGCAGATAAACTATCAACTTCTCGGGCTTCAGGAATGGATAAGTTCGAAGAATCTTCAGAGTTTCTTCGGTGAGGTTGGTTTTCGGCCGGAATTTGGCGAAGAGTTTCATTGGCGTTCGCGCATGTTCCATTACGGGGATTATTTTCTCGGCGTCCACCAATCCCTTCCTACATATCATCGTGCGTTATGAGAGGGAGTCGGTCATGGTCCGCTCTGTTCGAGAAAAAATCATGAAATCTTCGACAGAATCCTCCCTACGAGAGCTTCGCTCACGTGAACGCTCGCTCGTCCTCGTAATTGATCCAGTGCAAGTAATCGTATTCGATGTTTCGTCTTCTGACTAATTCGAGGATGGGGCCGGACGCATCGCTCCGACGCTTGGAGAACTCAAATATTCCTACAACCGCAGTTGTGTTCCTCGTGGTCAATATGATCGATCTGAAGTCGACCTTTCTGCAAGGTAGGATGCGGGCCTATAGAATTGTGATTGGCCTTTGGGGCCGGGAGGGTCCCGGGAGTCACCGTGTTCGTACTCACGTGTTCGGCGTCGGCGTCGTGGCATTCCTTTCTTCAAGGAGGATGTAGAACGCAGCGATCAGGAGGAGTGCGCCGGGAAGGAGTGCGAGAAACAAGAGC